ATGGAGATTCAATTGGGATTGTAACCTCCTGTAGCTTTACTCCCAACTCTTCACAACCCTTAACAACCCTCTTAACAACCCAATAGTAATAGCTATTACTATTAGAATATCAGAACATGTTTGGTATTTTACAAAGACTTCCCCTTAGTGTTCTTCAAAGATCCATGTCATTATTTGGTCTAGAGGTAAACACTGAGCATCACTGATTTTCATTCAGCTCCTATTAGTTATGTAAGAGTGGATTATGGATTATAGAGTTCTATAGTTAAATAAAGCAGAACTCGGTTTGTAATCCTTAAAAAAGAACAATAGGAAATTCATAAGAGAAATTACAGAAAAACATGTTTGCTTGAGGTTTCTGGACAGTGATGAATTAGAGCAAGTGTCCGTGTGTCCTGTGCTGACTCCTGAGTGCTTGGACAGTGAGGGATTGTCATTGGATTTTGAATTGACCCAATTTTGGAAGCTTCATAGATCTGTTTCTGTAAACAGATCTGATTTCAACATAGAAGTTAGCAAACGTTAATATGGAAACACAAAGTCCATTAACTTTGTTCAGACTTACTTTGTGACTTTGATTAACAGTTAAAAATTGCATACTGGATTATGTTGCCTTTTACTGGCTCCTGCTAATCCCTTATGTACAAAAAAAAAAAAATAGGTGTTTTCTCACTGGGTAAGATGGAAATAACAACTCCATTTAACTTCTGGTACTGTAATAGGATCTCTTATCCCTTGTGAAAGTAATAGAGTGTCCCTGGGGAAGTGGCACTGCTTAGGATGGGGCCATCTTAACTCCACTTCTAATGAAATCTTAATCTGTGTATTCTACTACATTACCAATTATTTAATTCATAGTGTTTCTTTTAATAGAAAAAGGTAAGACAGCTCACAAGCTCAATAGTGAGGTACACTTGTAAGCATCTGTCACACCAGTCTTTGTTTGGCTTCGGCTGCTAGTCCACTGTTTCAGATCTGCATCGAATGTGCCCATTTGCAGCTTCCCCCACGCTCTCTGAACTTGCACCTTTGATTTATAGAGCTTGTCAAAGCTAGTTATTTTTGGTTTGAGAGTGAAGAAAGAGAGGCAATGGAGGCTAATTTCAGATGAATATGGAAACAGAGTACATTGATCTTCTGCAGTCTTTCTTAGTTGTGTACTTTTCCAACATTTGTTTCCCTTTCCATTTATTTCTTCGCCTAGAAAAAGTCAACATTCACTCTTAGCTTGTCGAAGTCTGTTAGGTATGGCTTTCACCAGTGCAGTCCTCTCTGCCTTTCCTTTACTGTTCCCCGTTTCCCTATATCCGTCTTACCCTCACTCTATCTCATTACAGCAGTGATCAGCCTGTTTCATAATTGTATTTGCCTTTCAATTGTGAGTAACTTAAGGGATTATACATATCCTTTCAGTTTTTGTTTTTGTGGAAATAAAAATGGACTCTCTGATATGAATGGCATTTATTAGGCAGTTTTCAAAGGAACCTGACTAGTTCATCACATGGGAGGAGCTTTCCCTGAGGTCTATTCTAGGATTACTGGTCAGAAATATAGTTATTTCTTCACTCAGAATGTTTCTAGTTTTATAGGAAGCTGAAGCTGTGGAGGATTCAGATAATTTTGAAATGTCAAGCTGATTCTTTTCCTTGGCAGCTTGATTTGTTTAGGGCAATGTGGTTGACGCATGTGCTTTTTTTTTTTTTTTTTCTTTTCAGTGAGACCTGTTGACAGAAATTCAATCTTGATTAAGGGGTGCAGGAAGGCATCCAGTTCCCACCATGCCTGGGACTCTCTATTTAAACAGTTGGCTTTGGCCTGACCTGCTCCATTTCCCATTAGCCCTTCTTTGTGCACTTTAGATTTTGAAGGTTTGCATCCTAAAATTCATTATTTCTGGGAGAGACTATGTGTTGAAACTGACATAACCCACTAATTATTTTTTATTCATGTACTTATGCTGTCACTGTTATTGAACAAATAAGCTATTTATTACTTTTGGGGAGAGGGACTGGCATGGTCTGCTGTGTTGGTCATACTAGGCCAAACTTTAACCCAAAAGAAGCTATTTTTAAAAGAGGCCATGTTAGAAAGATAGTATTTTTGCATTTAAATTTCTCCTAAATAAAGATTTGGTATATTTAGGTTTGAGTGTCTTGCCTTTTAACCCCCACTGATCATTTGCAGTCCTAGAGCTCAGAGGACATCCTTCCTGTTGATGCTTGAATATCTTCTGCATGATCTTTTTTTATCCATTGGCAGAGGGGTTTAGACTAACTTCCATTATATATAGCGAAAACCTTATGCAAGAGTGTAAGCTTAGAAAAAGAGAAACTGGGGCCTCCCCGGTGGCGCTGTGGGTTGAGTGCAGCGCTATGAAGTTGTCTGCAGCCTCTGTAGCATGGGTTTGAGTCCCAGCCAGCCAGGGAGATACCCACATGGTGCGGCAGACCTCTCCTGTCTTGCCCACTGCTCCCCTCAGCAATGTTTTTCGGTCTGTCCGCTTGTTCTGCTCTCTGCTCTGTCTCTGGTGAATCCTCTCAACCTCCTGCGCCTCTGGCCTGTACCCCAGCTCTTGTATAAAAATAAATCGTTAAAAAAAAAAAGAAAAAGAGAAACTGAGGGGTGATTTTTATTGGAATTTTGAGTCCAGAGCTTTCATGATATATTCAGAATAGGGATCAAAGTTTTCTTTATTGACAACTTGGTGGGGATGCTTAGCATTTTTTTATAGTTTGTTTTTAATAAAGAGTTTATTTTTGTATTTTCTGACAGGTTAGTACCATTTGGTTACCTATGTCATTTTTGAGGGACTAATTATAGGACAACCTTGAATATATAGTGACTAACACCAGATTTTGGAGACCTATAAACCTAATGTTAAAACTCAAAACTTCTACCCACTAGTTGGTGATCTTGGAGTATCTTAACTTCTCCGAGCCTGTTTCCTTATCTGTAAAATAGTGATGATGATATATACCTTCTATTGATATATTGTAAATGCAGTTTAAATGAGATGGTTTATGTGAAATGCCTGGTAAGGTACTTGGCCTGTAGTAGTCATTTAGTATTTGAAAGTTACTGTTATCCCTAATAGTAACTTAGTCTCTTGCTCCTTCATCTTGAATATTGAATATTAAATTCTGGCTGTGCTACTTTGCTAAGTGAACATAAACAAATAGCAACTCTCTCTGTGCCTCAGTTTTCTTCCTCTGTAAAATGAAGATCATAATAACTACTTCATAGGATTATTATGAGACTTTAGTGAGTTAATTATTGGAAACCACTGCTAACAGTTTCTGACATATCATAAGCATTCAGTAATTAGTAACTTGTTTTTTTTCAAGTTTATTTACCTTTTATTAATCAATACTCAGGGACATTTTACCTTTTTCTTTTTTAAAGATTTATTTATTTATGCATACAAGAACTGGGCTACTGGCCAGAGGGTAGAGGGTGAAAGGATTCACCAGAGACAGAGTGGGGAACAGAACAGGCAGATTGACTGAAATACACTGCTGAGGGGAGCAGTAGGTGAGTCAGGAGAGGTCTGTTGTGCCATGTGGGTAGCTCCCTGCCCGGGGATCGAACTTGTGCTGCAGTGGCTGTGGATAGTTTCATAGGTTGCGTCTTAACCCCTTGCACCACCAGGGAGGCCCGACATTTTATTTTCATATAGAAACATTAAAAAAACGAGAACAAGTGACATTTGGATAAGAAAATAGTAACCAATTTATAGATCATGCAAATAGTGTTATATTAAAAAGTCAAGAGGTTTAATAAGTGCTGCATTTTCAAGAATGTTTAATTCCAGAAAACCCAACGACTTCTGGACTATACATAGATATGGGGGAATAAATATTGTTTAAAATACTGCTTAAGTCTTTAAACTGAGAAGGTATGCATTTGTATAATAAAATATATTCAAATAGTATAAAATTTTATAGAGTGAAAGTCTTCCCATACCCAGACCTCCAACAGGTCCAACACTGTTAACACCTTAATGTCCCCCTTCTCAATCAAGTATGTATGTACAAAGGTATATGTCAGTTTATGTTGCCGCCTTTTAACATGAATGGGAGTATGCATTTCTACATTTTGTTTTTCTCTCTTATTAGCTCTTGGAGCTCATTCTGTACATCTCACCACATAAGCATAGTTAGCTAATATTAAAGTTACTTAGCATTTCAGTGTATAGTTGTTCTATATCTGCTATTGGTAGAATTGGGGTTTCCAGTTTCTTGGCTTTTATGAACAATGCTATAGTGAATTTTCTTATATTTACATATGCATAAATACATATTTGTAAGATAAATTTCTATATTTGGCAAGGCTAACAAAAGGAAAAATGCATATTGCCTTCCAAAGAGGTTAGCAGTATAGCTCCATAATTTAAAAGAGAAAAAAAGGTATGAAGGGTTAAAAGTCGAACCACCCTCCAGGTGGTTTTCAGCAACATGTTTTGGTGCAGTCATGGCTTTTAGGAGGCTAAGTGGGGTTGCTGCATATTACATTCTTGCCTCCTCCCTCCCCCAGCTTTAGTTGTCTTCATTACATTCCTGCCTGGGAAGTGTTCCCAGTGACCTGGGTTAGGCATTAAGATCATGGGAATCTAAGATTTTCCCATGTCTTCCAGCATGTTTGTTCACAAGAGCAGGAAAACTTCTTCTTTGCAGCAGTGGAATTTTAACCACTCTCAGTCACTGGGAAATCTTTCATTAAGGGTCCTTTGAATAGACATATGATCAAGGAGCGTCTGGGTATCAGTAGATTAAAAGGCAGTGATAATACCTTATGGTAATATATTTCATTAGCACTTAAAATACCTTTTTATTTATTTATGGGAAGCAGGAAGGCAGAAAGGGTCACTTGCCACCTGACATATACATATTGTAAATGGCAGAGACAGGACTAGAATTCTGGACTTCTATTTTTGTTGGCATTGTTTTTGACTATAAGTGACAGAAAATGTGACTATAACGGTTTATGCAAAAAGAGTATTATAGTTCTTACATAAGAAGTTTGGAGGTAGGTGGTTGACTTTTGATCATCTGAGATTGGGGATATAAGGGCCACTGTCTGTTACTCTCTTGACTGTCCACTCATGGTTGCTATAGCACTAGCCATTATTACATCTGCATTCAAGGCAAGAAGAAGGTGAAGGGCAGGGACAAGGCCAGTAATTATATCAGGAAAGCAAAAGTTTTCCAGTGAACCCCTAAGCAGATTCCTACTGTTGTGTGACTACTCCATGCTTCAAAGGTGGCTGTCAAAGAGATGGCTTCCATCATAGTATGCTTCCTGCTGTTTAATGATGTTCAGTAAAAATATTTAATCATAACTTGACTTAAGCCACATTAATCTCAAATTCTTTTTTTATATTTATAGTATATAATTTAGATATTGTATGTGATTTTTTTTATTGAATATGATAGGACCTTAGTTCCTATCTAAATTTTAAGTTCCTTTGTGTCTAAGACTAGATCTTCTACTGGTTTGTATGAAGACGTAGAATCTTTGAATATTAGTGAGAAAGGAGTGCTGATCTCCTTTCTCAGGGCCCCTAGCAAATGTATAATATCAGTGGGCCATTAACAAGTAGCTTATTGAGTTAAATTGAATAATAAAAATAGAAATGGAGGACAGTGAAAAATTTAGAATGAGGATAATAATGACTCTTCTATCTAGAGTAAAAGACTGGAGAATGGATTTACTTAGAAATAAATACAGTACTATTTTCTCTGCAAATAGAGACCTTAATGACATTAGCATGCTTCCCTAATTCACAGGGTGAGAGGGCAGAATAATGTGGAGAGAACATTGTGCTGAAGTAAGGTACCGCAGTTCTAGATCCAGTTCTGCTTTCACGTAACTATTACTGAGCAAGTCATTCAATCACTCTTACTCTCAGCTTCTTCTTCTAGGAAGGGGAAAATTGCTGCTTTATAGGATTATTGAGAGCATTAGAGAAAGTATGTATTTAGTATTTCGTAGTTTCATGCATGCATAAACACCTTGTTATCATGATCATTAGTATAGTTGTTGTGTAATATTGGAAGGCCCCTTTTTGCTTTAATTAATCCTTATCTATGAACTGCAAAAGTTAGTAATCTTAAAATTCTTCTAAATTCTAAAATGTCATGTTTCTGTCTGGAGTTCTGGCTGCAGTGAGTTAGTAGGAGAGAACATGAAAGATGAAGTTCTCTAGTGTAAAGATGGATGTCACTGTGTAAGCCAAATATTTGTCAGAACAAATGTTTCTGAGGTACTGAAGTACCTTCTAAATTACCCTAGTCCATTGAGAGAAGCTTAATGTAATGCTGGTCAAACCAGTCATCAGCAGTGAGGTTCAGTGTAACCTCATGATTTATCTTAGAGTGAAGGTATACTGGTGTAGTGTAGAGGGAATGAGCACTAGGGGCTCTTAGTACTCATGATTGGTGAGAGTTTGAAGAACTGGCACACCTTTACTCTTCTGAGAAACTTTTTTTCACAATGTCAAGAACCAGCAGTATCTCCTTTAAGAATTTATCTTAAGGGAAGACTAATGCATGTGTATTTAGAAGTTCACAAAGGATATTATTTTGGTAGTATCTTTAAAATGAACATATTGGAGAAGTAGGGTATCAGTAAATTATGATACAACCATTAATTGATGATATGTCTGTTTTTTTAAAAGATTGATTTATTTATGCATACAAGAGCTGGGGTGTAGGCCACAGGTGCATGGCGGGTAAGAGGATTCACCAGAGTCAGAGTGGGGAGCAGAACAGGTGAATCCACTGAATACACTGCTGAGGGGAGCAGCAGGTGAGACAAGAGAGGTCTACTGGGCCATGTGGGTTGGCTCCCTGGGCAGGGATCAAACTCATGCTGCAGTGGCTGCAGATGGATTCAGTGCTGAGAATTAACCCCTTGCTCCACCGGGAAGGCCCATATGTCTAATTATCGACAAGGAAAATGCTCAAAATATGTGAAACATTAAAAAGTCAATAATTTAATTAAAAAGTGAGAAAGGGTGCATGTAAACACGTGTAATGTGGATGGGAAGTCTAGAATAGTGTGACGTATGTGCTTTTATTTTATTTTATTTATTTATTTTTTTTTTTAAAAGATTTATTTATTTATTTATACAAGGTTGATTGATTAATTGATTTATACAAGCACTGGGTACAGTCAGAAGCGCGGGAGGGTGAGAGAATTCACCAGAGCCAGAGCGGGGAGCAGAGCAGGCAGAAGGACCGAAGCACACTGCTGAGGGGAGCAGCGGGCGGCAGGAGAGGTCTGCGCGCCATGTGGGACCCTCCTCTGGTGGCCGGGGAGCAGCCGGGGATCGAACCGGCGCTGCAGAGGCAGCGGGCAGCTTCGCAACCCAGTGCTCAACCGCTGCGCCACCGGGGAGGCCCCCGTATGTGCTTTTAATACAAACTTGTGATCTAATTTTTTAAAATGATCAGTGACTTGTATAATAAAATAAGAACTTGAAGCATGATTACTTCTCTTCCAAGAGATAATACTTTTAAGTACATGTTATTCCCTGAAAGAAGATAAGTAATAACTAGTTCATTGGGTTTCAGGGGGAAATGAATATGTAATGAATGTGATCTGTAGGTTTTCTTTTCATTTCTTTCCAGCTGTTTTACTAACCATATCTGCCTGGAGGGGGCGCTGACTTTAAACCTACACAGGTTTCCACAGTAGAAGTGCAGAATTTTGTACATAGGGATAGGGATGGGCCTCTATCTTTGACTTGTTCTTTTATCTAATCTGCATGTTGTGGCTTTTTCAAAGTCATTTCCTTCATGCCCAGGTATAGAAATTTTAAGAAGATATTTATAAGGGAAGAAAATCTGCAGTTGATAAAATTTCATTGAGGTCTTATTTTGTATAAGTTACTGCTCTAAGTACTTTGATGGCTGAGATATATGCAAGTGAATAAAATCCATCCTTGCCTTTTTATTTTTTTGATATTTAAAGAGCAGGTTTATTAGAAAAGGGATAGGATAGCAAAAGACACTTGCATAGACACAAGCGGGCAGGAAGAGCTGCCCCAAAAGAGACAGGTATGCTGAGAAAGGCCTGCATGTTGCATAGCGGGCGGCCTTGAGTAGAGCTGCCTCCACTGAGGGAGGTCAGTGAAGAGAAGCCCCAGTGAGCACAGCTCATGGGCAGGCAGGAAGCTGCTGCCCTGCGGAGGGAGAGAGCTGGTGAAAAGAGGCCCCTGCATAGGCACAGGTGGGCAGACGGAGTGCTTCCCCATCCTTGTCTTTAGGAACTTACAGTCTGCTAGGGGAAGCATTTGCATAGTTAACTAATGTAAAATTGGATGGTAAACAAAGTCTTGGCACTTTGGAGATACAACAATTATGTATGATAATTAGAAATTGGAATAGAGTTCATAGAGAATTGAATTGGATTTTGAATGATGAATAAGGTTTTGGTTGATAGGTATATAAGTTAATGATGTGTTTCAGAAATTGGGTTATTCAAGGAGAGATAGTAAACTGGATGTGGGTAAGGTTGGAAATGAGAAAACAGTAGATTGAGGGAAAATAAAATAACGCACATGCATGACATATTGTAGATACTCATCAAATTTCAAATTGCCTCTTTCTAGTTCTAACTCAAAGAATGTTTTTAAATTACTAAAAAGAAAAGTTTGATTTGAAAAGTAAGGCATATTGTCCAGGTGATTTTCAGAATTGCAAGTGTGGTAAAAGGTGAAGTAATTGCTATCTTAGATTTTTGTGTAACCAACTTTCTGAATCATTTCTTTCTTTAGAAGGTGACCTGTTGAGAAAAGTGACAGAAATACTGGAAAAGTATCTGCTTTTCTGTGCCAAAGTGGGGCACAATGTCACAAGTTAAAGCCTCTTATTCCTATGATGCTCCCACGGACTTCATCAACTTTACATCTTTGGACGATGAGGAAGACACCCAGAACATAGATTCCTGGTTTGGTAAGTGTCTGCGTTGTCAGGTCATTTTAAGGGTTAGTAATTTGTGCTAAGGACCTCCTAAAAATAAAAGGAGATGCAAGAAAACAACTAACTTATCATTATGGATGACCCAAATTGTTATCTATCAAATAGAAATAATTGAAATATCCAGTACTTTGAAAATGGACTGTCAGGACAAATCAAAGTTATTTTGCTGTTAAGGATGATAAATCTTTAAACTTTAGCAATTTGTGAGAAAATCCAGGTGAGATGAATTGAGTGAAACTCTAGGACTCAGAACATGTCTGTTAATAGCCACTAGTTGCTACCATCATCAGGCATGGAGCGCCGTGTAAGGTTACAACTAGGATATTGACTAACACAGTACACCAATCTTACTCCGACTTCCGTAGTTTCATTTATTCTCATTTTTATTTATGTGTATTAAATTGTATGCAGTTTTAGCACCTGTGTAGGTTGGTATTTCTGCTGTTGCAGTTAAGATATCAAAGTGTTCTCACATCACAAGGCTCCTTGTGTTGCCCTTTATAACTCCTCTCCCTCCTTTCCTACTACCCTCCCTAATTCATTTACAAATGAATTATGTATGGATTATGCTACTCAGACCCCAGTTCTCAAATAGAGATAGGTTATCCTGATGTTGGATCATGTGTTGTGGCACCAAACACTAATACCAGGCTGACAGTAAATAAGGATGTGGTTATGTTTTTATATTACTTAAAAATGTGGTCCCAGTGATAGGTCAGGCGAGTAGATTGCTAAGGCCCCTTTATTTTATTATTTTCAGTGTCCTTAATGCTCTTTATTAAGAGAAATCGATATGGTTGGAGGGACAAAAATGAGTCCATTGCAGCTGCGCTTATCTGATAGGTAGCCTCCAAATGTGATGGTACATGCCATTCTCTTAGAAAAGGACTTAAGAGTGTCGTGGAGATCCTGAGAAGGGCTGTTGGAGGTAGGATAGATAAAAGGGCCAATGGCCTGTGGTGCTTTTCTTTATGCCCTTACACCACTGATACTGAGGAATTGGCTTATCTCTCTTTTCCCAAGTTTTTCTTTAAAACAAATAAAGAAAATATTAGAAACACAACACTATTAGATACAGCTTAGAAGAAAACAATCCCACTGTTTTTTCAAGTCCACCTTAGTTCTAATATATTACCTTCTGATTTTCTTCCAAATAATTACATCTTTTTACACCGTTGCCATCAGAATGTACAGCTTCAACTCAAGTATACTGTACACCTTCAACTCAAGTATACTGTATGATATCCCTTGTGAACCCTATGGATCTTGGTGGCTACAATGTTCTTTAAGGGCAACATGATGTATTTAGGAGGTGGATAAGGCCAGTTATTGCTTGTGTAGCCCTAAATGTGTATAAGTCAAATAAGGAGCTATTCACAATGCAGAGTCTGCACATCTCCTTCTCTGTGGTACATTGTTCGATGTTGCCAATGTTTCAGTGACAGTTTTTACATAATTCATTTCTTTTTGATCACTAGAAATTTGTCAAATTTGTCAGGGGCTTTAGGCTCTATTTTAATTAAGTACTTGGTGCTGATTTATTTTACTTCCTTGCTGATTGTTTAGTTGATGATGATCATGTTTTTTCACAGAGGAGAAAGCCAATCTGGAGAATAAGTTTCCTGGGAAGAATGGCACAGGAGGACTCTTTCAGGGCAAAACTCCTTTGAGAAAAGCTAACTTTCAGCAAGCTATTGTCACACCTTTGAAACCAGGTAAGAAAGAACATCTTAGGGAAAAACTCCCTGGCAGAATGATGGAACAGTGTATTGGGAGTCTTAGGGGTCTGGGGAAATTGCCTATATAGCACATCGCTTGGTTTATTATTGGTGAAATGGGCTAAATCATTTCATGGTGCATGGGAAACTAATGATGTGCTTTACTTTTTTTAATTTTTCATCTCTTGGAACTTAAGCTAATATGAAATTTTATTACCAGAAACATAACTGTTTTCTTTTTATAGTAAGATTTAATATAATGTAACCTGGATCTGACTGGGAAACAAAACAGCAGGAAAGACTATACTGTTTGCCATTGTACAAGAATTCTTTGAGCCATGTATCTGATTTTTTTTTTTTAGATTTATTTATTTATTTATACAAGCACTGGGTATAGTCAGAAGCACGGGAGGGTGAGAGGATTCACCAGAGCGGGCAACAGAACAGGCAGACTGACAAAGAAATACACTGCTGAGGGGAGCAGCGGGCATGGCAGGAGAGGTCTGTTGCGCCATGAGGGACCTTCGCCGGAGGCTGTGGATGGAACCGGCGCTGCAGAGGCTGCGAGCAGCTTCGCAGCCCAGCACTCAACTGCTGCGCCACCAGGGGAGGCCCCCTTGTATCTGATTTTTAAAGATGATTGACATTTAAACTGGTGGTTACTAAATCTGCAGAATATTGGTCAGAACAAAAGGAACATTCTTAAAAATGATTTTTTAAGTAGCAGCTATATGTAGCTATAGTTCACCTGTCATATAATTCATCTACTTGAAGTGTACATTTCAGTGTTTTTAAGTATATCCCACAGAGTAGTTGTGCATCCATCACCAATTTTCAAATTTTGAAATTTGAAAATTGTTGGAACGGGTAATTCTGAAGTTGGCCTTAATCGCACCATTCACCAGAGGGGTTGCATTGGGAAATAACTGTATTTTCTGAGAACATGTCTGGCTTACAAAATCTAAGCTGCTAGTCTGACTTTTAAGTGATTAATGCATGAGTACAGGTGATATCTATGGAATTTGGGGTCTGGACTAAGACCCCCAACTTAAGCATCCATCTTACTTACATGTGAGATTAGAATTGTATGACAGGTTTCTCTTCACATACTTGGAATACCTGTGACCTTGAGTGCTATCTGTCCTCACATGAATTGCATTAGTTGATTAAGTGTGGCAGATCTGATGCTGTGATGGCCTTTGTGCCTTTCTTGAATTGAAAGGGGTATAATATTTACCTAGTTTGTGTAGGCCACTTTCTATTTAAGTCAACAGTAAACCCCAAAGTAAAAGACTTCTGCTAGGCCCATCATGCAGCCATGCACACTGTTTACATGCATGCCTGGGAGTCTTGTGTTCTTATTAGATATACTCCCTATCAGTGTTGTGCCCTCTATGTAGAATACTCTTAATCTAACCGAAAAGTTCCTACTCAACATTTAAGGTCCAGCTTAAATGCCCATTTTTTCTGTAACTGATTTCTTTAATTTGTATTCTCAAGGCACTTTCCATACGTGTGTTTTAATTTTAGTTTTGTATTGTATTGCTAGTACCTAGAAATACAGTTTTTATGTTGATCTTTTGTCCTGCAGCCTTTTAAAGTCACTTATAAATTTTAGTAATTTTTTTTGTAGACTCAGTCATCTGGGCCCACAAGGTTTTTAACTACAAATTCAATTTCTTTAATAGATACAGCTTTTGTAGTTTGTCTTTTAAGTAATTTGTCCATTTAATCTAAATTGTTGAATTTATAGGCAAAAAGTTATTTATAATATTTCCATATCCTTTTAATATTTATAGATTCTGTAGTGATGTTACTGCTCTCATTCTAGATTTTGGTAATTGTATCTTTCCTTTTTATTTGCTAATCAGTCTGAGTAGAGATTGATAAATTTTATTAATCTTCTCAGCCAGATTCTGGTTTCATTAACTTTTATTATTTTTTCCATTGATTTTCATTCTTTATTGTTTCCCTTCTACTTACTTTGGGTTCAATATGCTATTGTTCTTTTTTTTTTTAATTTGGGTTTTATTTAAATCTTTATTTTTTAATGTGTTTAGTGCTGTCAGTTTCCTCCCAGCAGCCCACAAATTTTATATGCCCTATTTTAATTTTCATTCTAATCAAAATACTTTTAATTTCCCTTATTATGTCTTCTTTGACCTATTTGCTCTTTAAAAAAATTGAGATATATTGATAGTTGACATACATTTTGTGAGCTTAAAAGTGTACAATGTGTTGATTTGCCCTCCATATATTTCAGTATATTACTGTCTTGCATTAGTCAACACCCCATCACATCACATAATTATCACTTCTTTTTTGTTGTGAGAACAATAAGATCTAGTCTCTTAGCAACTTTGAAGTTTATAATATATTGTTGACTGCAGTCTCTATGCTGTAATATCTCCAAGACTTATTTATCTACTAATTGCAAGTTACCTGTGTGTAATTTAGAAGTGTGTTATTTAATTTCCAAATAGGGGGGAGGGAGAGCATTCCCGAAAACCTTTCTGTTACTGATTTCTTGAGTGATTTAATTCTATTGTGGTCAAAGAACAGAATTGGGTAACTTGAATCCTTTAAAATGTATTGAGATTTCTTTCATGACACAGAATATGGTCTGTCTTGGTAATTGTTCCTTGTGCACTTCACAAGAATGTATATTTTACTGTCAGTGAGTGGAAAGTTATATAAATGTCAATTGGGTCAAGTCGGTTGATAGTGTTATTCAAGTCTATTTCCTTACTTGATATATCCATTATTGAAAGTAGGACTATTGAAGTCTTCATTGATTATTGAATTTTCTGTTTATCCCTTTAGTTTGCCAGTTTATATATCTGAGGCTCTTTTGTTAGGTACACAGGCTCTTTTTTTTAATAGTGTGTCTTCTTCATGAATTAGCCTCAACGTATTTTTTTTTTTAAGATTTATTTATTTATGCATACAAGAGCTGGGGTACAGGCCAGAGATACGGTGTGGGGGATGGTGGTGAGAGGATTCACCAGAGACAGAGTGAGGAACAGAACAGGCGGATCAACCGAAATACACTGTTGAGGGGAGCAGCAGGCGAGGCAGAAGAGGTCTGGTGCACCATGTGGGTAGCTCCCTGGCCAGCCAGGGATTGAACTCGTGCTGCAGAGGCTGCAGATTGCTTCATAGTGCGGTGCTTAACCCCTTGCACCACTAGGTAGGCCCCTCAATATATATTTTTGTAAATGAAGTTTTATTGGAATACAGTCATGTATGCCTATTTGCTTATGTATAATTTATGGCCATTATATTTTTACTGATTTTTCTTTTTTTAAAGATTTATTTATTTATACAAGAACTGGGGTATAGTCAGAGGCATGGGAGGGTGAGAGAATTCACCAGAGACAGAGCAGGGAGCAGAACAAGCAGATGGACCAAAGACACTGCTGAGGGGAGCAGTGGGCGAGGCAGGAGAGGTCTACCGCGCCATGTGGATTTCTCCCTGGCTGGCTGGGAATCAAACCCGCACTACAGAGGCTGCAGACAGCTTCACAGTGCTCCGTTCAACCTGCTGTGCCACCGGGGAGGGCCCTCTTACTGATTTTTCTGTTCCATCAATTAGTTACTGAAATTTCAGATAATAATGTATTTGTCTATTTCTCCTTATAGTTTCTGCTATGTGTATTTAAAATTTTTTTTAAAAAAATTTTTTTTTTAATAGAGGCATGTTTTATTTATTTATTTATTTATTTGTGTGTTTTGTTTATACATGCACTGGGTACAGTCAGAAGCACGGGAGGGTGAGAGGATTCACCAGAGCCGGAGTGGGGAGCAGAGCAGGCAGAAGGACCGAAGTACACTGCTGAGGGAAGCAGCGGGCGGCAGGAGAGGTCTGCGCGCCATGTGGGACCCTCCTCTGGTGGCTGGGGAGCAGCCGGGGATCGAACCGGCGCCGCAGAGGCCGCAGGCAGCTTCACAACCCAGCGCTCAACTGCTGCGCCACCGGGGAGGCCCTCTGCTATGTGTATTTTAAAGCTCTGTTGTTCAGTACATAAATGCTTAGGCTGTTATATCATCTGGATGAATTGGCCACTTTATCATTTTGAAATGATCTTTATCTCTGGGGATATTTTGCTCTGAAATATACTTTGATGTTAATATAGTCACTCCCCAGCTTTCTTTTGATTAGTGTTAGCATTTATGTCTTTACATTTAAAGGCAGTAAAGTATATAATTAATTTTGTCTTGCTTTTTTTTTTTTTTTAAATTTTTTTTTTTAATAGAGGCATTTTTTTTTTTTTTTTATTTGTTTGTTTTGTTTACACATGCACTGGGTACAGTCAGAAGCGCGGGAGGGTGAGAGAATTCACCAGAGCCAAAGCGGGGAGCAGAGCAGGCAGAAGGACTGAAATACACTGCTGAGGGGAGCAGCGGGCGGCAGGAGAGGTCTGCACACCATGTGGGACCCTCCTCCGGAGGCCGGGGAGTAGCCAGGGATCGAACCAGCGCCGCAGAGGCCGCAGGCAGCCTCGCAACCCAGAGCTCAACCGCTGCGCCATCGGGGAGGCCCAATTTTGTCTTGCTTTTTAAAAATTGAATATAATCCTCTCTTTCAATTGGGGTAAATGTCTCTATTGCTGCCTTGATATAATATTCTATAATTTTTTATTTATATGTCTTTTTCTGCCCTCCAAAAAAAAAAGTTCTCTGGAATAAATGAATCATGAAATGTGTTTTAGTGACCTGACTTTTCTTCCCTGTCATTTGACTGCAGTTTTCTTTTATCAAGGCATAGTTCATAAGCTGTGCTATCAAATGCTATTTCTTCCATTAAACCTTCGCTTGATTTTCTCTTTCTCAGTATCCCTATAGTACTTTTCTGTTTCATTAAAAATGTTTATTAAAGAAATACATGGCCATAGTAACATCAGTATTTATGATAGAATAGCTCCTCCTTCCCATCCCTAAATCCAGTCTCTTTTTTTCAAATACTGCATCTTTCATAATCTTACTGTTTTAAATTGAGCTTGTGGTTACACCCATAATACCTGATAGTATTATTATATCAATAGCTTTTATATTTTATATATGTCAGTATTGCTCAGTGCCAGGCCAATTAGTATAATGCAAACCTGTTCCTTCTTGACTCTCTTAAGTTCCATTGTCACAATCTCTGTGCTACATAAAGATGAGCCTCACATCAAAGTCAGGTGGATTCACTTTTCTTGAAACTTCATCAGTTACGTTGCTTCGTATTGGGCTTGCTTCATATTGGACAGCAATTCTTGGAAGTTATTATAACTGCTTTTTTGGGATAACATTATCTTAATATCTTTGCTGCCTTGTTTTCTGGATCTTAATTTTTTCATTTGTACCTTATTTTGCAGGAGTATATCCTCAGGGAACTTCCTAAGATTAGATATGCAACAACAGAACTTTGAATTCTCACATGTCAGAAAATACACTTTTCCACTTTGATAGATAGCTGAAAGTTTCACTTAATATAGAATTGTACCTTGATAAAATTTTTTTTAACTACTCTGAAAGCACTGTTCCTTTGTCTTGTATTGTCTTGAATTCACTGCTTATCCGATTTTACTTGCTCGTTAGGTGATTTTTTTTTCTTTGTGGAAGCTTTCAGAAATTTATCTTTATTGATGTCCTGAAGTGTCATGAGGATGTGTTTGGGGTGCTTTTTCCTGAGGAGATGCCTTAGGCTGGCAAATAGGCAGGACCCTGCTTGTTTCATTTCTGCTTCAACCAAAGTAGCCTTTATAAATCAGTCTTCTGTATAAGATTTCACTGGAACTAAGGGTTCTGCTAATTAGGACGAAAATAAAATAGCCATATTTCTCAGGCTTACAAGTGTGTGCATGTGCGTGTGTGTGTGTTTGTGTGTGTGTGTAATTTTCATTTAGAATTCTGTGTTAAGTTGTATATATGTGTCTCATTTCTATTCATTTCCTTGGAATTTGAGTACTGACTAGTGTTAGCTTTCCCACAGTTGACAACACTTGTTACAAAGAAGCAGAAAAAGAAAATCTGGTGGGACAGTCTGTTCCATCAAATACTTGTTCTTCCCTAGAAGTCAAGGGAACTACTACAAGAAATACTTCAGCCCAAGCTCAGAGGTAAGACTATTTCAGAGTTTAAAAGTGGTGGTTTTGTTTTGTTTTAGTTTTATAGGCATTTAATAGTTTACCAATTTTTAAACAAATAATGTTCAAAGAATGGTTATTGGACAGAATACCTGTTATGTTTCCCATACTACCTGAGACTCTTTATGATACCTTATTTGATTTTAATAACATTTATAAGTTGCAGGCAATATTCTTGATTTACAAATAAGGGCTCAGAGGTCCTGAGTTGCTTGCCTAAGGCAGGTTTATTTCAGAGCTAGGATTCAAACTGATCAGTTTGTTTTCAAAGCCCTTGCTGTTTGCCCATCAACATAGGTGCAATTTTACATTTATTTGTGTGAATATTTGATGGATCCTTTTTTCTTTTTTGAATCCTTTTTTCTTGTTTATGGGTTGTGAGTAAACATAATGGCAAGTATCATGTATTCCTAGTTCCTGACAGTGTCTGGCAGAAGTAGAAGCTGAATAAGTACTTGGTGAATAAATGGTTAGATGATGGATGGGTTAAGCTGCAGTTTTGACACTAATGAGCTCAGAACATCTGATATCTTTGAATATTGCATTTTGTATCCATGTCCTTTTTTTTTCTCTTTTAATACAAAAAGACAGTGTTTGGGAGCGGTTAGTCTTAATATTAGTTGCCTTCACATGGCACTAATCAGAGCTAGTTTTTTTTTAAACTTTCACCATCTAGTAATTATGATTTACCCAGAGTTTAAGGGTCATTTATTCTTTATAATTTATTGTCTTCTAGAATATAATCAAGAAAGAGGAATGGCAGAGTATTTATAATATTGTTGCTTAGAAGTAATGAAGTTACCTTTTGTGAAGCTTCATACTGGCATAGGGACCTCTTTTTGAGGATGGTATCATGTAGGGCTATCTTAATTTTTTCTGGAAAAGAAGGCCAGTTTAATCAAAGAATTATGTGAAATCTCAATAAGCTAAATAAATAATCATAGGAGTCTTAAAAGGCTACTGTTGGTGGTTTTATGATTTCTGTTTCATGTTTAGATTGTGAAGTGATGCCTACTGCAAAAGGACCTAGTGTCCTATAGATTCTTTCAGAATCAAGAAAGCATTAGTATCTTGGCTTCTCTATTTTGTTTTTATTCATTCATTTATTTGTTTATTTATTTATTTTAAAGATTTATTTATTTATTTATACAAGAACCGGGGTACAGGCCAGATGTGCAGGAGGGTGAGAGGATTCACCAGAGACAGAGTGGGGAACAGAACAGGCAGACTGAAATACACTGCGGAGGGGAGCAGCGGATGAGACAGCAGAGGTCTGCCGTGCTATGTGGGTTTCTCCCCAGCTGGGTGGGATTGAACCCATACTGCAGAGGCTGCGGACAGCTTCACAGTGCTGCGCTCAACCACCTGTGCCTCCAGGGAGGCCCTTGTATATATTTATGATTACTAGAGTTGTCCCTCATCCTGACTGAATTCTGGAATGCTTTCTGGAAATGATGGTATGACAGAAAGTCAGCTACTCCCAGAGTCAAGAAGACCTGAATAGCTTTTGTTTTGTTTTAAGGCAGATAATCTCTTCCAACTGAAAACCTAGGTTTACTGAAAATAACTATATCTCTCAGTCTTACTGTAAGAAAAGGCAGATAAGATAATATATATAACAGTATTTTATAAATGATACTGTATTTTGAAAATTTATGAGGTAAAATATTAGTGCCACTTATCTCATATTTATCAGAGTCCAGAGATGCGTGATCTAGAAAGGAAGAGCAGGAAAGTGCAGATAATTGTACAGGTTCCCTACTATTTTATTTTCACATAGTTTTGATGGATAGGCTAAAGGAAAACCCAGACTCCTTTGACACAATTAATTTAAGAGTCAACAGTCTGTAATAATCATTTCTCCATGGAGGTGTTGCTTTACCACAAATATGTGTTTTAATTTTTGGAATCTTATCCCCTCGTATATCTTCCTAAAGCCACCCCAAATTTTTCTGTGCTTATATGTATCACTGTATGTTGAATTTAAGTAATGGCTCTTAATGATCATGTCTTCATGTACTTTTCCTTCTTTCTAATTTTTGATTCTCAGTCCGTTTTTAAAAATTCACTAATTTTATTGATATATAATTTGCATATCTTAAAACATACAGATTTTGAGTGTACAAAGTCGGATGAATATATACTTCCATAGCACCCACAATTAAAATGAATAGAACATCTCCATCATCTCAGAAAGTTCCCTCATACAATCCTTTTTTAGTTAATCCTTACTGTCTACCTTCTCATTCTCCTACCTCTTACCCAGAGGCAACTATTCTGATTTATTTCAGCATACATTAATTTTGCCTGCTCTATATATTTTTATAAATGGAATTATATGTACACTTGTACTTGACTGTATCCATTCACCAATTGATGGACATTTGAGTTGTTTCTAATTTGGATCTATTATGAATAAAACTGCTGTAAATAGTTTTTAAGGGCGTATTTCTCTTTTTTTTTTTTTTTTTTAAAGGTTTATTTGTTTATTTATTTATACAAGCACTGGGTACAGTCAGAAACGCGGGATAGTGAGAGAATTCACCAGAGCCAGAGCGGGGAGCAGAGCAGGCAGAAGGACTGAAGTACACTGCTGAGGGGAGCAGCGGGCAGCAGGAGAGGTCTGCGCGCCATGTGGGACCCTCCTCCGGTGGCCGGGGAAGGGGCGTATTTCTCTTGAATGAATACCTCAGAGTGGAATTACTGGGCCGTATTGTTAAGTGTATTTTTATAAGAAACAGTCAGGAATGTATTCCAAAGTGACTACCATTTTACTTTTCCACTAGCAGTATAGTATGTGAGAGTTTATGTTGTTCCATATCTTAGCCAACACCTGGCACTGTCAGTATTTTTAATGATGATTATGTTGTTTTTTAAATTTTCATTTTTCTGATAACTAATGATGTTGATCACATTTTTATGTGATTATTGGCCATTCCTATTATTTCCATAGATAGCCGCTGCTTTTGTAGTTTGGCTTTTTGGCATATTCCCATTTAAAGTTTGAGAGACTACGTTGAGATTGTTTTGGCCCCCAAACCTCTAATCTTTTGCTTTACTTCTTTACCCAATAAAACTGCTTGGGTTTTACATGTGAGAGCACCAGTTATCCTGAAGAAATTTGCACTTTTCTTCCAGTGGAGACAAGGAAGAGATTTGAACTAGCACTATTTGAAAGATGATATCCATCTGAGCAATAAATACATGAAAAAGTGCTCAGTCTAGCTGGTACCATGGTAAAGCAAATTAAAACCCCAGAGAGGTTTTACATATGACCAATAGGGTTAAAATTAAATTTGCTGATAATATCGTTTTCAGTAGGGTATGGAGCAATATAGACTGTTATAAACTTGTTATTGTGATAAGCATATTGGAAAACAGGTCCTATGACCTGGCAGTCTCACAGTTTAACATATCTAATATGTGTACATATGTGCCAAGAAACATATGAGAATCAACAGGAAATGGACAAATAATGGTACATTTCTGTAATGATTGCTATAACATTGAAAGTCAGTGAATTAGAGCTCTGTGATAATGTGGTTGAATTTCACAAACAGAATGATGACTGAAATAAACTACAACCCCTCCACAACAAAATAAAGCAAGTAGTGGTAGTCTGACTATATTTTAATGTTTTTTTCTTTTGTTTGTGTGTTTGTTCTTTCCAAAGAAAATACCATGCTTATGGAGTGCATGTTTATAGGTAAAATGATAGAAAGTATTGAGTACAGTAAAGGTCAAGATAGTAGCTGCTGCCAGTGTTCTATTTCTTCACCTAGGTGGTGATTTCATGAGTCTTTACTTTGTGATCATTTAACTGAGTTTTTGTTTTGTGCACTTTTTGGTCTGTGTTATATTCTAATGAAAAAGGCGAAAATAAAATAGCTTTGTCAGTTTCCAGGAGGTCTGATCTCTAATTTCAAGCCTGACAGCAAATTACTATGAAGCAGGGTCAGGTCACCTCATCTTTTTTGACTTTGACCTACAAAAGGAGGGAGTTGTGATAGCCAGTGCCCTTAAAAAACATTTAACTTTATTGAGGTCTAATTTACAAACATTAATGCAGTTAACTACCAATATTTTATGATTAAATTTTAAAAACTACCAGTTAGATATGTAGTGATTAGACTTTAAGGTAGAAAATAATACCACTAGACTTGTTACAGCCCTTTGTAGTTTGATATACAGTGTTTTTTTGTTTTGTTTTTTTACATTTTTCAAAGTATAGGCTTATTAGGAAAAGGAGAAGGGAAAAAAGAGTAGACCCAGGTAGGCAGCCTTAGGAAGAGAGCTGCCAGTTTGATATACTTTCATAGGAGCATTTGTATATCTATCGTAGTTATATTGTTATATAGATAACTTTTGTCAATTCTTCTACTATAGAAGATCTGTCAGACTCTCTGCTAAGAAGGATTTGGAAGGCGAAGAAAAACACCATGTAAAAATGAATGCCAAGAGATGTGCTACTCCTGTAATCATTAATGAAATTCCACCCTCCAAAAAAATGAAAGTGTAAGTAGTTGAAGCTTCTCAGTTGGCATAGGTTTTGCCTCTTTGCACTATTTTATCACATTTATAGAATACATGGTACTTGTTCTTGTTTTTTATCAGTTCGGAATTATTTTGCTGTAATTATTGCCTCTTCAGCTAGAGTGGTTTAGAGAATAATGATTTACTGCACAGAAGTTTAAAAGTAGTTTGCTGTTGGCCTTGGTTCAGTGACTGAACAATGCCAGGACAGTGTCTCTGTGATCTTTAGCTTTTTTTGCTTTTTTCTCCCCCACACCTGTTATTTAAGATGGCTGCTCTATAGTACTTAGTTTCTTCCTTGTCCTTATTACCTCCTTGTTATATCTCGGTAACTTGATACCTCTTCCCTGTACAAGAGGAAAAGAAGGAGGGCGTGGTAAAGGAAGGGGGGCAACACCCATATCAGCAAAATGAACTATTTTCTGGAAACTTTTAAGTTAAATCTCACTTGCCCAAACTGTGTTATTTGGACCCTTTCTTAGTTGGAATAGAGGCTATTAATAATAGTAATAGAGGCTATTACTTTTGTCTTCATGTCGTGTTGCCCCAAACAAAATTGGGGTTCCATTAGTAAGAAAGTAAGTAAAGTAGACATTGGTAGAGCAACTAACTGCCTGCCATTTGTTCATTTGATGATAAGTAGTTGGAATCCCTCTCACCTTCCTGAACCATTCATTACCTGTCATATCTTACTTTGACTTCTCAGAGTTTACTTGTAGCCATTGGTATATGTGATCAGATAATGTATTGGAAGGCTTTTGTGGTTGAAGCATGTTTGTTGTCCTAAAGAATGAGAAAATGTAAGCCGTGTGTGGTGGATCTGGGGGATAGGGTGGTACAAGGTATACTTTAGAAAATTAAGAGGCTATTTTTTTCCTTTGACTCAAGTTCTAACAATAAAAAGAAGCCAGAGGGAGAAGGCCATACTCATCAAGGTACTTCTGAAAAGAATGAGTCCTCCCCAGAGAAAACCAAAGGTAGACACACTGTGACGTGTGTACCACCCATAAGGTATGCATCTGTCCTGAATTTATACTTCAGAGTTAATAAAGTCACAAATGGGTCCATCTGCAGTTTGTTTGGTATACATAGAGCTTGGGAAACTCATAAAACTATAAACCATGGTGAGGTGAATTGTTTTATGTTCTGGTGGGTGCTTGGGTCTTAAACACCAGGAAAATACATTTTTTAAGTCTCAACTGGTTTTATAGCTGTTGACACTTAATGGCAAATTTATAGTATCATCAGCTTTGAGTGAATATTTTTATTTCCTTGTTGTCTCATGTGCATTGTCTCTTTTTACTTTTAAAATTGTCTCAAATTTAATCGATATGGTATTGATGGCATATTATTTTCATTTTTATTTGTTTGGTAACAAGATTGTATTACTGTTATTTAACAGTAAACATCTTTGCCATACTTCTTGGATGAATAGTCTGTTTCCTTTTCAATTTTTCTACAAGTGGTCTTAGTGATACTCTTATTCCTAAGAGGGGCCAGTCTAAATCTGATATAAAGGCACATTGTGAGGATGAGTGATTATATTCCTTGTTTTATAGAAGATATAATTGAGACTCAGATATAGTTCTCTCAGGAGCCTATAGGCCGAAAATGAATTGACAGAGTGGGATTTGAACACCTAAGTCTGTCTTTATCACAGTATTTTTTTGTGTGTGTAATAACATTTTGCCATATTTGTTGCAAAGAGTTTTCCCATTCTATTACTATTTTAATTTTAGTTTTTCTGTGGCATAAAATCTAATTACTGTATAATCAAATTTGTGAATTTTTTGTATTCTATAGTTTTGCTACTTTTATGAACTTTGAAAAATATTTTAGTAAAATTGTACTTCTTGATTTTTTTAATAGTGTTTCTGATTAAATTAATATTAAATCATTAGATGGAGCTTTTTGGTTTTAATGGTTATTTTATTCCAATTAAAAATGTAATCTATATAGGGCCTCCCCGGTGGTAGAGTGGTTGAGCACTGGGTTGCGAAGCTGCCCGCAGCCTCTGCAGTGCTAGTTCTATCCCCGACCTCCGGGCAAGGGTCCCACATGGCGTGCAGACCTCTCCTGCTGCCCGCTGCTCCCCTCAGCAGTGTATTTCATCAGTTTGCCTGTTCTGCTCTCCCCTCTGGCTCTGGTGAATTCTCTCACCCTCCTGCGCTTCTGACTGTACCCAATGCTTGTATAAATAAATAAAATAAATCTTTTTTAAAAATCTTAAAAATAAATAAAAAAAAACAAATTAAAAATATGTAATCTATATAATGTCTTCAGATTATTTTGAATCACTGAATCTGTTTTTGCTTTCTGTTTCTCTCTTATCTTCTTTACGGATTTGTCCTTCAGGCAGAAGATTCTAAAAAGTACTGAGGAGCAAGAGTTAGAAAAGAGAATGAAAATGCAGCAGGAGGTGGTGGAGATGCGGAAAAAGAATGAAGAATTCAAAAAATTTGCTCTTGCAGGAGCAGGTCAGCATAGCTCTAGTTGAGTCTCAATTATGAGGGGGCTTCTTGTATTCTTGGTAGTTTTTTGAAGTCACTGAAGCAAAAAAAAGGTTTTTAGTCAGTAATTACGGTAAAAAGATGTGTTTACTTAGAAGGCTGGGCATGGGTTTCATTTATATTCCAATGGTCATTCCCCAGAACATTTTAATATACATTGACCCTTTCTTAGAGCATGCATGCCATTTCTCTCCATCTCTGACTGTAGAAGTCACACTCAACTTTGTCTTTACTTCTCTCATTTTTTCATATAGAATTAATTCCTCCTTCCTTTTTTGTTTCTTTTTCTTTGTACTAGAAAAGAAAGGAACTAGGATTGAGACAGACAGTAGAGCAATTGGGTAGGCCAGTATTTTTATTTTGTTTTCCTGTTTTATCCTAGGCAGAGGTAAATCTAGCTGTAGCTCTGGAGGAAAAGTATGACCGAGGGTGCTGAAGGGTCCTGCTTTGTTCTGACACAGTCATTATTAGTAGAATCAAAGCTGTAAAGCCCTGCTTACTGGGTTGGAAAAGGCACTCATAGAGCTTATAGATTTTCCTCCTCAGAGTTGCTTGGTTAAGCGTGCTTTTAAGGTCACTCCATAGCTTTTCTTATGCAAAGTATTCCAGCTACGTTTTATCTCCAGAATTATAATTTTACTGGGAGATGAAATTCTTCCCTTCGCCACCTCTTTACATTTTACATCTGACAAAGGCTTCAAACCTAATAGTACTCAGTAAATAAGGCAAATATATTAGTGTCCTGAGAATTGTTTCAAGTTTTAGGTTGTATGTAAACAGAGTAAACAAAGTTAGCTCCACAGTAGTAGAAATATCAGAAGTAGTAGAATAAAGGGGATTTACTGGTACTTTCTATTCTTAGTTTACCTTTGTGTTTTTCTCTGCTCCTCATTCAGGGCAATCCATGAAGAAACCAGTGACCCAGGTAACCAAATCAGTTGATTTCCACTTCCGCACAGATGAGCGAATCAAACAACATCCTAAGAACCAGGAGGAGTATAAGGAAGTAAACTTTACATCTGAACTGCGAAAGCACCCGCCATCTCCTGTAAGTTGATGGACTAAGTGAATATTCCCGTTACTAATTCAGTGAGGCTTTCAGATCTAGCATTTGTGGTCACTGCTTATTCCAATAATATAATTGAGAGAAACACATTTTTGTGTTAAGATAGATCCAGATCCTCAGTTTGCCTCTGTTAACTGTGATCTTGGATAAATCACTGTCTCTTTCTCTAGGAACCAAAGTGTTTTGAAAGTTGAAATGAGAATGCATAACGCATATAGAATCATGTGTGGCAAATTGTAGGTACAAGCTTGTTACAGACTGTGCTGTCACAAAATTCACAGAAAATCTTGTGCCTGCAAAGTTGTATACAACAGATCATGGGGGAAACGGGCTTGGGGCTGACCACACAAACCCTCTGCGGTTTTGTTACCAGAGTGATAACAAAAATAGTGGCAATCCTAAATAAAACTTTTAGTGCTAAGAATCTCTACTTACATTTGCAATCATCATTAGTTCTTCAAGTCTTAAACCATAGGGTGTGCGTCTTCTTTTGAAATGAAGATCCTTGGAGAATTTTTTTTTAAATCAAAATTAATGATCCAGGGCCTTCCTGGTGGCACAAGGGGTTAAGTCTCAGCACTATCACTCACCAGATACTGCAGCATGAGTTCGATCCCCAGCCAGGGAGCTGACCCACATGGCACAGCAGACCTCTCCTGTCTCACCTGCTGCTCCCCTCAACAGTATATTTCTGTCAATCTGTCTGTTCTGCCCCCCATTCTGTCTCAGGTAAATCCTTTCATCCCCCCACACCTCTGGCCTACACCCCAATTCTTGTATGCATAAGTAAATAAAAATAAATCTTTTAAAAAATATTAATGATCCAGGGAGTAGTCTTGTTCATTAGTCAGTTTTGTGGATATTTGGAGAGATTATGATGCAGGCAGCTGCATGATCTGATCCAGACCCAGAAGCCCAATTAAGAAAACTTATTAGGATTGGAGGTGGATGCCTTTTGTAGCTTTTGCTCCCTCTTATTCTAATAAATTTGCTCTTCAGTGTTTTTTTTTTTTGAAATAGAGGCATGTTTTATTTATTTATTTGTTTGTTTGTTTGTTTTTTGTTTATACATGCACTGGGTACAGTCAGAAGCGCAGGAGGGTGAGAGAATTCACCAGAGCCAGAGCAGGGAGCAGAGCAGGCAGAAGGACTGAAGTACACTGCTGAGGGGAGCAGCGGGCGGCAGGAGACATCTGCGCGCCATGTGGGACCCTCCTCCGGTGGCCGCAGAGCAGCCGGGGATTGAACCTGCGCCACGGAGGCCGCGGGCAGCTTCGCAACCCAGCGCTCAACCACTGCGCCACCGGGGAGGCCCTGTTTTTTTTTTTTTTTTTTTTTTTTTTTAAGGAAAGGGATAACTTACTTTTTTTTTTTAAAAAGATTTATTTATTTATTTATACAAGCACTGGGTACAGTCAGAAGCGCAGGAGGGTAAGAGAATTCACCAGAGCCAGAGCGGGGAGCAGAGCAGGCAGACCGACGAAGTACACTGCTGAGGGGAGCAGCGGGCAACAGGAGAGGTCTGTGCACCATGTAGGACCCTCGCCCGGTAGCTGGGGATGGAACTGGCGCTGCAGAGGCTGCCGGCAGCTTCGCAACCCAGCGCTTAACCACTGCACCACTGGGGAGGCCCTCTTCAATGTTTTGAAACATTAACATGCTTGTGAAAAATCACCTTGAGTCCTACTCTAGAACCATTTGAGTGCTAGATGCTTTCTTCCTTTTTTTTTTAAAGGATGAGAGTAGATTCAGTTATAACTCTTGTTCAAGGACTGACAAATGTAATAATAATGTTAACAATAATAACAAACTTAATAATAATATTGACTTTAAATATACCCTTTTTCTTTTGATCCTCTGTACTGAGTATATGACTTATGGTATATCTGAACTCTTTCATAACCTTATTTGGGGAATGACTTCTTTCTTTACAGGCCCAAGTAACTAGAGGATGCACCATTATTAAGCCTTTCAACCTGTCCCAAGGAAAGAAAAGAACATTTGATGAAACAACTTCTAGCTATGTGCCCCTTGCACAGCAGGTTGAAGCCTTTCACAAACGAACCCCTAACAGATACCACTTGAGGAGCAAGAAGGATGATGTTGGTAAGGTTTTATTTTTAACCACTATCATAGCTGGCTGGAGCCTCCCCTAGAATTCCCATTCCTTACATCTTAGGCATGAATTTGCTTTCTGTTGAAATCCTACCTTTGAAACTGTAGTATGGCATGTGCCCCATATGTAGACACTAACTGTATAGTTGAACATTTCTCTAAGCTACTTATACCTATCAACCTATAATCTGTCCACTTATACCTATCAACCATCTTGTCTCTCCTGATCAATAATTGACCAAGGAGAATCAAGGTAACCTGAGACATCATTACACATTAAGGGTATCTTTGCCATGTGTCAGATTGTCATATGCAGATGTCATAATGCAACCTATAAAAAAATGAAGACATTTCACAAAGTTGTGTGTTTTTTGTTCAGTGATTGAACATACTTTTTTTAATCACAAGCCAGGAGTTATTTGGGGTGTGGGGGGTATAGAAGTGAACACAATGGACTTGATGCTACTCAGTATCACTACTAATTACTAAGAGAGCCATAGATTATTATAAGCTATGTTAAATACTGTGAATGTGGCGGTAGCTGTAGGGAGTGGAAGATGGAGAAAGACATGTTGACATCCAAGTCTTTAATCCATTTTGAGTTAGTTTTTGTGCATGATATGAGATAATGGTTTAGTTTCATTCTTCTGCATATGGCTGTCCCATTTTCCCAGTACTGTTTCTTGAAGAGATTCCTTTTCCATTGTGTACTCTTGGTTCCTTTGTTGTAAACTAACTGACCGTATAAATGTGAGTTTTTTCCTGGGCCCTGAATTCTGTCCCATTGTTCTGTGTTTTTATTCCAGTACCATGATGTTTTGATTACAATATCTCCGTAGTTTTGTTTAAAGTCTGGGACTGAGATACTTCTGTTCTTTGTTGTCAGGATTGCTTTGACTATTAGGGGTCTTTTGTGGTTCCACATAAGTTTCAGTAATGTTTATTCTATTTCTTTGAGGAATGCCATTGGAATTTTGATAGGGCTTGCTTGAATCTATATGTTACTTTGGGTAAGATAGAAGAACATTCTTATTTAAAGCTGGAATAAACAAAAATCTTATCAATATAGTTGGTATTATAAACAGAAAGGATGTATAGGCTTATGCAATGATGGAAATCCTTTAGACACAAATGGATTTTAAGTTCAGAAGCTGATCGTAGAGTTTATCCAAAGTATACCTTCTTCACACCCTCAGTAAAGAATGACAGGAACAAGGGACTGAATGTTTGTCAGGAGATGAGCTGAGAGTGGAAGACCAGCCACTGCACAGTTTGGCATCTCTGGGCTACTTATCCAAATCAGCACCTATAAGTAAATGGATCTTAGGAGCTAGGCAAATGTCTGTGATCTCCATTTGCAGTCCTGTTACCTTCCAAATCCACTGTGGCCAAGATCTCCAGAGACCCAAAGACTCCCATACTGCAAACCAAACATCGTGCAAGGCCTGTGACCTGTAAAAGTGCAGCAGATCAGGAGGCTGAAGAGCTGGAAAAACAGCAACAGTAAGTCCCAGTGGCAAGAGTTGCAAGAACCTGCCTGCTTTACAGTTTTATAAGAGATAGTCACTATTTTTCTTGCTGTGGGGATTCAGGGCGTTTGAGTTATAGACTGTGGACTGTGTCCTTGCTTATGATTAAAAGATTGGAAGTAGGAAATATGGAGATGTCTTGTAGTGTGTAAAATTGGTGAAAAAGTAATACAGAGGTTGGGGTGAGAGAACTTACAATTCCATTTAAGGAGAGTTCTCAGAAGTTAGTTTAGGTAGTTTCCACCCATTTATGGCTACCCAGGGGATTGTTACTGTAATTATTGGTGGAGAAAACTGGAACTTAATGTGGTTAGCATTGGAGTTTGTTTCTCCTGTTGTTTTTCCATATCCTTTTGTTCTTTTTTTTTTAAGATTTATTTATTTATGCATACAAAGCTGGGGTACAGGCCAGAGATGCAGGGGGTGAGAGGATTCACCAGAGACAGAGTGGGGAGCAGAACAGGCAGACTGACTGAAGTGCACTGCTGAGGGGAGCAGTGGGCGAGACAGGGGAGGTCTGCTTCGTCATGTGGGTTGCTCCCTGGTGGGCCAGGGATCGAACTTGTGCTGCAGAGGCTACGGATTGCTTCATAGTGCGGTGCTTAACCTCTTGCGCCACCAGGGAGGCCCCCATATCCTTTTGTTCTTTTGAGAAGTCGGAGGTTCCTCTGTGAAGAGAGACCCCACTCTTTAAATGGTGAGAATGTTAGGACTCATTTATTCTTTGTTCTAGAGGTAGAAATACTAGCTATGGAGAGAGTTCAAATTTTGCTATGGAAATTTCACAATGGGTAATTTTAATAATTATTACTTTTCTGGTTTTTTATTTCAATTTTTTAAAAAGATTTATTAATTTATGCATACAAGAGCTGGGGTATAGGCCAGAGGTGCAGGGGTTGAGAGGATTCACTAGAGACAGATTGGGGAGCAGAACAGGTGGATCTACTGAAACACACTGCTGAAGGGAATAGTAGGCGATACAGGAGAGGTCTGTTGGGCCATGTAGGTAGCTCCCTGGCCCAGATTGAAATGGGCCTCAGTGGTTGTTCTGAGACTTTAACCCCTGAGCCACCGGGGAAGCCCCTGCTTTTCTGTTTTTTACTTAATTGTTTGTGTAGTTCTCATTAAAATTGTGTGTGTGTGTGTGAGATTATCATTTAAACTCTCACCTTACAGATACAAATTCAAAGCACGGGAACTTGATCCCAGAATTCTTGAAAGTGGGCCCATCTTGCCTAAAAAGCCACCTGTGAAACCACCCACTCAGCCTATTGGTTTTGATTTGGAAATTGAGAAAAGAATCCAAGAGCGAGAGTCAAAGAAGAAATCAGAGGAGGAACACTTTGAATTTCATTCCAGACCTTGCCCTACTAAAATCTTAGAAGATGTTGTGGTAAGAATGGCTGAGGCGCTGCATGCTGGCAGAAGTGTCCTGCTCATGATCAAATATTCACACATTCACACATTCACAAATGTTTTGAGTGTATGATCAGGGCATCATATTAGGAACTATGGGTGCTAAAGTGGCTCTCGGTGAATTTTGCTGTCAGTAAACTTAAGGTCCAATAAAAGATGAACAATATGTTTACAAAACAGAAGACGTTTTTGAGAAAGATGGTAGTTAAAAGTACTGTGGGAATACAAAGGAGATAATGATTTCTCCTAGATAGAAGGTTCAGGAAAGCTTTATAGAAGAGGGAGTATTTGACCTGCACTGTGACAATGTGCAGTAGTTATTCTTATTCATCAATATATATCATTGCCCTAATAGCTAACTCTTACTATTTGCCAGGCACTGTTTTTAGCCATTTTTTGTATATTAGCTCATTGATTTTGACTACAGCCACTTTAGGTGGATTACTTGCATTATCACCAGTTTTAGACAAGGCATTTGAGGCACAGAGAGGTTAAGTACATTCCCAAGGCTACTTAATTTTATAATTTTATTAATAAATAAAAGGATAAGAATTCAGGCACTCTGATTTCAAGAGTGTGTGATCTTAACACTTCATTCTGTAGCCTCTTCATTATATGGACTCCAGAATTTGGACTTACAGAAAAGTAAATGAAATGGACTGGTAACGAAGTCTACTGTAGAATTGAGGCTACCAAAGGGGTGATTGGTAGGTAGGACAGGGAGGAGGGCTACCAATGGACTATGGTAGAGGAATTTGGGTGCTTTGGTGGTGTTCGTGGTGTAATATACATATCTGAAGAGGTATGAACCTGTGCTTCTAAGCCATACAAAGGGTTAGAAACCAATGTAACCTCCGTAAAAAATAATACAATAAAAAACAAGTGATCTCAAAGGGAACTTTTAAATCACTGTGTACATGGAAAAACAGTACTTTTTGCCATGAATAATAACAACAGTAGTAGCTAATATATAAAATTTAGTGTATATCAAGTTTTATTCTAAAAATAAATTATTTTTATATAATAATTCTCATAACAACTCTATGAGGTAAGCTTATGGGTATTTTCACCAGGCCATTATACAGTTGGGAAACAAAGCTAAATAACTTGTTCAAACTAGCCAATAGCAGAGCTGGGATATGAATCTCAACATCATGGTTTCAGGATTTATACTTTTATATAATAGAAGGTACCTTTTAAAATAGAGATGATTCTTAGGAAAATATGTGATTGCTTAAAAAAAAAGTCCACATCACATTTATCATCTTCTCCTATGTATATATGTCACTAGTCATATCTGAACTTCATTTCTGGAAGCACTGATTTAGGAAATTGATTTGGCAGTTTATTGTGCTTGGAAATGCTGGTATGAGCTGCTAAGTGGGGAAGTATGATTGGAGTTCGCGAAGAATGAAGTGAGATCTTAAGGTAGCATGGTAGCAGGTTATGCCTTGTTGAGAATTTTGATTTAACAGATCAGCAGAGCACTAGGTGTATAAGTAAGGTATGATGAAATCGATGTGGTGTGCCGTAAGAAAGTATTTGTCTTATCCACTGGTTTTCAGGATCTTCCAGGGATCTTATTACGTGAGCCCTACCCCTGGAGTTCTGGTTTGTTAAGTGCAGTATAGAAGAGAGAGCCCAGTGAAGAGCGTAGTGTAGTTCCTAACACACAGCAGGCGGTCATCTTGTTAATAGTAGTAACTGTCATGTTGTGTGTTTACCTTGTACTGTTTGATGTAGATGGTCTTATTATTTCTCATAACTTTTAAGAGGTAGGTTCTAATTTTTTGTCCCTATTTTTCAGATGAGGAAATAGACAACCAAGAGCTAATTAGTATGTAGAACCAGGATTTGAACCTGTCATCTCCTTAAGCACTGTATTATTCTCTCCTATAGTGCTGTTATAATCGTTTATTTTGGCAAGTGCTTTTTCGACTTTGATGCTGTTTGCTGCTCTCCCTACTAAAATTTCCAGCTATTTCACCTCAGCCCAATGGACACATATTGTATAGTCTTCTGTCCTCTTCAGTTTTTAGAAGGAAGGCTTCAAAAGGAGAACATGACTTGCCCATAGAAATATTTTTAGAAGTTGGTACCAAAACTGAGATTAGGTGTCTTTTTTTTTTTTTTTTTTTAAGATTTATTTATTTATTTATACAAGCACTGGGTACAGTCAGAAGCGCGGAAGAGTGAGAGAATTCACCAGAGTCAGAGCGGGGAGCAGAACAGACAGACTGACGAAGTATACTGCTGAGGGGAACAGTGGGTGGCAGGAGATGTCTGCGCGCCATGTGGGACCCTCACCCGGTGGCCGGGGACCGAACCGGTGCTGCAGAGGCCGCGGGCAGCTTCGCAACCCAGCACTCAACCGCTGCGCCACCGGGGAGGCCCGAGATTAGGTGTCTTAACTTCATCTTAGACTCTTACAGTAGAGCAGAAGAGCCTGCCTCCCAGAACCTGACTGCAGCATGTATGTCTGCACTGTTGTTCCTCATCTGTGTCCCCTGATGCTGAAACTTTCTTCCCTTGTATCCTTATAGTGTTTCTTTTGCTCTCCCACTGTGGTTGATAGGTGGCAAATAGACAGCAGAACTGATGAGAGATGGGCTTGGGCAGCAGTGGGCCCTGAGGCGGATGAAAAAAGGGCTCTTGTTGCAGAGATAGAGTGATGAAAACCTTGAGCTCAAGGGTGTGAAATGTGAACTTGGTGCCGACATCTAGTGGGGAGCTGGGGCACCACAGAGGTGGATGTGGTGACAGTGAGGCCAGTGAATAATTTTAGCAACAATATTTTAGGGATGAGTTGGGGACACCAGCAGTCTTCTTTTTTTTTATTTAGTATATTCCCTGAGCTACCATTGCTTCACAGTAATTTCCTAGCTCTCCAAGACAGGCCTGAGAACTTGTCCAGGACAATTGGGGCATATCCTGTCTTAGGGGGAAGTACTCACTTCTAACACCCCTTCCCCTATCCTGGGCTGTTTTTCCTATGCTTCCTGTGTCTGCTCACATTGTCAATGTTTAACTATACATCACCTATTTAGAGATGCCTTCCCCCACCTTCCTGTTGGAGCTTTCCCTGCCCCACCCCATCCTTTGGCTCTACATTCTGTGAGATTTCTTCGGAACACTTAAAAAAAAAAAGAATTGTTTGATTTATTACCTTTTCATTTTCTTTTTCGTCCACTAGAATGTGAGCTCCCTGAGGGCAGGGACCTTGGGTATCTATATTGTTCACATCTGTATCCTCAGCACAGGAGCTCCAATATTGGATAATTAAGTGGGTGACAGCATAAACTGTCACCCAGTCTGTTTCTAGCTGGTGTTACATACTGGGAAATCAAAAAGGGAAAAGGACCGTAGCCCTTGTCCTCAAAGCTTTCACAGTCTGGTAGAGCAGATTGCTATGTAAACAAATAAGGACAGTAATATTAATCAACATATGTTCATTGAACAGTTGCCACACAGTCTTCTAGTAGGTGCTGTGGAGAATGCAAATGGCAATATCTCTGCCTTTAAGGAGCTTATAATTAAAAAAAAACTTAAAATACCAAATTGAGAAGCCTGTCTTTCTAGGAACCCAGTTTCCTTTATTTCTTTTTTTCTTTTTTTAAAAAGATTGTTTTATGTATACAAGAACTGGGGTATAGTCAGAGGCGTGGGAGGGTGAGAGAATTTACCAGAGACAGAGCAGGGTGCAGAACAGGCAGACAGACTGAAGACACTGCTGAGGGGAGCAGCGGATGAGGCAGGAGAGGTCTGCGGTGCCATGTGGGTTTCTCCCTGGCTGGCCGGCAATCGAACCTGTGCCACAGAGGCTGCGGACAGCCTCACAGTGCAGCGCTCAACCCGCTGCGCCACCAGGGAGGCCCCAGTTTCCTTTATTTCTGATTGAACTCTCCATTGGCTTTGACTGCAGTGGAGATGGGGTGTGGGTAGAGAGTTGCTTCAAAGTTGATTTTCATAAACTCATTATCAACTAATTATAAGGATTGGTCCCATTTGTGAATATCTCTTTCATGCTTATATATTAGAAATTTCCATTACTTTTTTTTTTTTTAAATGCATGTCTTTGCTGGGTAGATGCAAAGAGAAGGGGGAAATAGGAAAAAGATTATTTAAGATCTAAATGAGTCCTAAAATATATATTTCCATTACTTTATGGAAAAAACCAAGACCTCGAAAGCTATCTAATGTGCACAGGGTTATGCAGATTGGAAGCAGAGCTGAACTAGAACAGACTCCTGGCTCCTTGCTCAATGTTCTTCCCATTCCCACATGTCCAGAGTGTGTGCCAGCAAGAGACTAATATCTGTCTGTCCAAGATGTTGTAGAACAGCAGGTTTTTGTTGTTATTTTAGGATAAGCATTTGAAAGTGAACTTCATGAATTGTTGTCACTCTGATTACAAGTTCTGCTATACTAGATTTTATGCCAGTGATCCTTGCTTTTTTAGAAAACATAAAAACTTTCACAGCAGAATGGGCGTTCCCTTCATTATGGTCATCTTGGGAGGGTATACACTCTTTTCCAGTGATACTATATAAAGCATTTTGGAAAACCACTTGTTTGGGATCCTGTGGCAGAGTCTTTGTGGGTCCCGTCAATGATAGCAAATCTTCATATTCTAAAGATTAGTTTGCTTTTAGGAGCTAGTCTAGAGTCAGTTGGAAGCTGGAAACAATTTTGTTTAATAAAAGTAAAGACTGATTACTTTGCATGACTCTGAAACTGACTGTGAAAGCCACCTCAAGAAAGACAAACATGCATTGTTGCAGCCTTGTTGGGATTAAGCAGACGTCTTCCACAGTATAAATTAGTCCGGGAGTCTTAAGAGTCCAAGGTATAAATCCTGTTATTTATTCTTATTGTATTCATTTAATAAACATTTACTGAATGCCTAGTGGTTGCCAAGTTAAGGGTTAATGGAATAAAAGTCCATCCCCACTCTGAATTCATAGGCTAGTAGGAGATGAACATTTAAATAAATAAATAAATGTAATAAAGTTTTAGATGTATTGTGATAGTGCTATATACAGAAAAGAGAGGTTATAGATTCTGTGGCTTTATAAAACAGGAGGCCCTTCAGTGGAGGCTTGCAAAGATGAGTTAGGTGCTTCCAAGCTGCCAGGGCTTTTCACATAGAGTATACAGAGGTATTGAGATGAGAACCAGACTTATATGTGTACAGCTACTAGTAATGCTTGTAGTTGGAGGGTGCTGGATAAGGAAGAGTAAGAGATAAAGGTAGAAAGTAAGGCAGGGTACCAGATTGTGAAGCCCCTTGTATTTCATGCTAAGGACTTTGTTATAGGTATACTGTTCTAGGTTAGCAGTAGGAACCATTAGAGAATTTAAGTCAGAAAATAACATGATCAGATGTGTTTTAGGAAAAAAATTCTGACTATATACACAAGGTGAATTGGGGGAATGGAATGAGAAGCTAAAGGACTTAGAAAGCCAGGGGAGTAGTACAGACAGCAGATCATGTGATTTGTGGCTATGGTATGGCAGTGAACAGTTAGGAAGGAAGCCAGGATCAAGAGCTGCTGGGGGCAGCATGTAGATGTGAGTATAAGGAATAGCACTATTGAGGATGTCTCAGGATTGTTGTGATTATTTAAAAATTGGTCTGGTCATATACGTCATTGAAAATAATAGCCCAAGAGATTTTGCAGTTAGGATTAATTGCCAGATTTGCAAGTTTCATAGAGTTTAAATTCTTTGAGAATCAGAAAATGCTTATGGACTAACTTGCTGAAATGCATTAGTTTTGAATGATGTGCACAGTGTAATTCAGTCTGCAGATATTTGCAATGTTGGCTTTGTTTTAGAACCATTAAGGGAAATTCTTCAGAATGGTTAAGTTATTAGAATTATGGAATGTAGAAAATTAAATAATTGAGTTATTCCCTTTTTTTATTCTTTTAAAAAATGTTGTGTTGAAATATACCTAAAAACAAAATTAAAGACTAAATACCGGAGGTATAACATTGGGTGAAAGAGTATGCCATTTAAACATCTGATAACTTCCAAAGGTTCTACCAACTTGTACCCTTTACCAGTATCCAATTCTTTGTGAGTGCTTGCTTCACAGTATTAATTAGTCTTCTATTACTCAGTCTTAGAGGTGAAAATATCTTATTTTAATTTATATTTTAAAAAATTATTAATGAAATTGAGCTAAGTCTTTGTGAACTCCCTATATCCATTTCTTATCCTATACTCATTTATTTGGCAATGGGAAATTGAACTAGCACTTGCCAAATACATTTTTCCCTTTGCCTTTTGAGTATAATGTGTTCGAATATAAGTTCTCTTTGTAAAGCTGTAAGTGGAATAGGTTTAAGAGAATGGGCAGGTACCTATTTTGTTCTTGGATATATATGGAAGTCTTGATTTTGTTTTCGAGTGACTGGAACTATGGAAAGGGAGAGGAACAAAATACTGTCATCGGTTTTCTGTTGTATTTTTCATAAATACCAAAAAGATTTTGGTGAATCATATTTTTACTGATTATACAACATTAGCTGTGTCCTTGGTATTTGCTGCTCTTCTGGCATGCTAATCTACATTTGGCGTGCTGCTGCATATCAGTTACATCTTTGTCTCTATTGGGTAAATAACATATTGAAATCTATACTAGTCTGTTCTGATTCTTGGTATATAAACTTCCCTTTAAGGAAGGGATTACCCTAGTGGAGTTTGTTTTGGGTTGTCTAATTGAGTTGATTCCTTCCAGGGTGTTCCTGAAAAGAAAGTACTTCCAATCACTGTCCCCAAGTCACCGGCCTTTGTGTTGAAGAATAGAATCCGAATGTCCACCAAAGAAGATGAGGTGATTTCCCTTGAGAGAAGGGGTTTCCTTTTTCTTTCTGCATAATCAATCTAAGCATTAATCTCTTAAATGTAATGAAATTCAAAGGCAATCACTCTTTGTCTGGAGTTATCCTTAACATGAGGTATAAACATTTGATCAGCTTTATTGATCCTCCAAAAGCAAGGTGTAGTAAGTTAAGGATATGAACTTTCTGGATATCAGTGGTCACTGCCTGCAACTTACTCAAACCTTCTCCATTTCTGTAGCACTGAAAATCAGTCTCACTTTGTAACATGGATTGAAAACTGTGAAACTCTGTATCCTATTTTGTCTGAGCTAGTGTCACTGTTCAGTAAGGGACTTAAAATTTATACTAAGCAGTTAGATCTGCCCTGTTGTGTCTCCATTAACTCAAGGGTTGCAAAGGTGACTGTGTGGTGATGCTTCATGAAATTGTAACACACAAACTGTTATTGATCAGGCTAGTTTCTTGTTACATCTCCCATTTTATCTATAAATATCCAGAGTTATGGTAATTTTATAGCAGATCTCAAGCTTAAGCCTTTTTATAGGTTCATTTGAAACTAAAATACACAGTAATCTTATGTTACCCGCCTGAACCCAAACAACTTGGTCCTATTCTGGGTTTGGCAGCCATTATTAGCTCCCAGTCACATGTTTTAGTATAGTCTGGAGGCTGCATCAAATAAGAGACCACGTTATATGCTTGGATGGTATCTTTCTTTTCACTTTATTCATACTGTTCGATCTAATTTCATTTTTACAAGCTTCGTGTGAAAATTTTTAGATCCTTTTGAGTAGTTGCTTAGGTCCTTTGCCAAATACTTTCACATTGGTTCCACCCCGTGAGTTTGTAAATGACCTAGGTATTATCCTTCTTTGATAGAAAAAGTTTAACATCCAAGAGATTGATTGACTTGTTCAACTAATGACTTCTGTCATGTGATGTCTTCTGACTCCATATTCTGAGGAGGTGAGAGAGCAAATTTTTTTTATTTCTAAATTGCAATTTTCCCCCCTTAGGAAGAGGAGGATCCAGTAATAATAAAAGCTCAACCTGTGCCACATTATGGAGTGCCTTTTAAGCCCCAAATCCCAGAGACAAAAACTGTGGAAGTATGCCCCTTCTCTTTTGATTCTCGAGACAAAGAACGTCAGTTACAGAAGGAGAAGAAAATGAAAGAATTGCAGAAAGGGGAGGAGGTAGGTTTTTCCATTCTATAGGTGGCACAATGCTATTTGATCCCTCAAAGATAATCTTTTATGTTGCATTTTTAACTATAAAGTCACTTTCTTCCTTTGATCCTTCCAAAAACCTTATGAAGTGTAAACAGGACAAGTAATTTTAATAATCCTTCTTGCACAAGGGGCTTCAGTGACTTGCCTGTGAGCACACTGCCAGTTATTGGCAATATTCAGAGGAAGACCTAGATTTCCTTTGGAGCCTGTTAGTTTTTCTGCTGGACCATTGCTGCTTTGAAAACAGGCCTTTTCTTGTCTTTCAGATTAATCCAAATAGTATGGAGTAACTATTACTTTATGTTGAGAGAAATCTATCTTAAATCTTATGTTTTATTTTCTGTTAGATACCCAAGTTCAAGGCACTTCCTGTGCCTCATTTTGACACCATTAATCTGCCAGAGAAGAAGGTGAAGAATGCAACTCAGATAGAGCCTTTCTGCTTGGAGACTGACAAAAGAGGTGCTATGAAGGCACAGACTTGGAAGCACCAGGTAGGGAGTGGGAAGGGCAATTAAAATGTTATTGCTTAGTTGGTTTGTTAGAATAGGTAGAACCACAACACCAAAATTCAGCTGGGAATTAACATGCTGTATTATTTCAGGGGCTTTCACTCTAAATCAGGGCTTAGCAGTTTTTTCTGTAAAAGACCAGATAGTAGGGCCTCCCGGGTGGTGCAGCGGTTGAGCGCTGGGTTGTGAAGCTGCCCGCAGCCTCTGCAGTGCCGGTTCGATCCCCGATCCCCGGTCGCCGGGCGAGGGTCCCACATGGCGCGCAGACCTCTCCTGCCGCCCGCTGCTCCCCTCAGCAGTGTACTTCATCAGTCTGCCTGCTCTGCTCTCCACTCTGGCTCTGGTGAATTCTCTCACCCTCCCGACTTCTGACTGTACCCAGTGCTTATATAAATAAAAAAAAGACCAGATAGCAAATAGTTTGGGCTTTGTAGGTTATTTTTGGTCTCTGTCACATGTGTGTATATGTGTTTCAATCTTTTAAAAAATGTGTAAAAACTATTTTTCATTCATGGGAAGTGCACATAAAGGTTACAAACTAGATTTGACCTGCAGGTATTTTTATATCATCTGGGGAATGTGAGAACTGACAGACTTTTTGTGTCAGGCCTTTCTTTTAAGATCTCATCTCTTCCTTTTGTGGGACTTTTTCATTAAACATTCACTCCTTTCTGTTGGTTCTTTGATAAGAAACAATAATGGGGAGAATAGATTCTCAATGTGGTGAGCTCCTTTCTTGACAGTGTGCTCTTCATAGGTGATTAAAAACAATTGGTTGTTGGCTAGTTTAGGGCCTTCCCGGTGGCGCAGCGGTTGAGTGCTGGTTTGCGAAGCTGCCCACAGCCTCTGCAGCTCCGGTTCGATCCCTGGCTGCTCCCCGGCCACCGGAGGAGGGTCCCACATGGCCCCACATGGCGCGCAGACCTCTCCTGCCGCCCGCTGCTCCCCTCAGCAGTGTACTTCCGTCCTTCTGCCTGCTCTGTTCCCCGCTCTGGCTCTGGTGAGTTCTCTCACCCTCCCGAGCTTCTGACTGTACCCAGTGCTTGCAAAAATAAATAAACAAACAAACAAACAAAATAAATCTTTAAAAAAACAAAAAACAATTGGTTGTTGGCTAGTTTAATTGGGACCTAACTCTGTCCTATCTGGGAAAAAAATCCTCCTGAATCCCTAAATTTATTAGTATTTTTATATCATTACTTACCCTGGACTGTCCAAAAGAGAGGTCTGAGCTAATCTTTATTTTCAGAAAGTCTCCTCTTGAAGGCCTCCTCTTGAATGTGATTGTTTACTTGACTGAATGTGGGTCCCATGTTAGCATTATTCTTTAGGAAAATTTAGGATTGTTGATTTGGAAGTAGTAGTGGATCCCTTTTTCAAGTACTCTGACATGTGGTGTCATAATAAAAAAAGGGTTTTTTTGTTTTTTTTTTTTAAGTTTTTCAGACATGCAAAAGTAGAGAGAATAGTATAATGAACTTTCATGAACCTGTCACCTGGTTTTATTAGAATGATCAAAACATAGAGAATCTTACTTTTCTGTACTTCCATTTATCACTACACTATATATAATTCTACTTACATTGGGTTACGTTGAAGCAAATCCTAGGTATCATCTCATTTCATCCAAAATTATTTCAGTGTTTATCTTTAAGATATAAGTACTTAAAAAAAAAACCATAACCACAATGCTGTCATCACTCTGAAAAAGATTAACAGCAATTCCTTAACGGTGTCAAATAGTCAGCATTCATATATACCCACGTAATTTTTTTCAAAAAGCTAAATTGTTCAAATCAGCATCCAAAATAAGGTCCACACTTCGCATTTGTCTGATAAATTTCTATTTTTTTAAAAAGATTTATTTATTTATGCAAACAAGAGCTGGGATACAGGCCAGAGATGTGAAATACACTGCTGAGGGGAGAAGCGGGCGAGACAGGAGAGGTCTGCTGTGCCACGTGGGTTTCTCCCTGGCCGACAGGGATCAAACTGGTACAGCAGAGGCTGTGGACTGCTTCATAGTGCGATGTTTAACCCCTTGCGTCACCAGGGAGGCCCTGATAAATTTCTAAATCCCTTCTAATCTGTAGGCTTCTCTGCTTGCATCGTATTTGTTGAATAAACTGGATTGTTTGTCCTAAAGGTTTTTGGCAATCTGAATTTTTGCTCATTGCATTCCCATGGTGTTGTTTAATATATTCCTCTATCTTTGGTATTTCTTATAAGTGAATAATCAAATCTAAAGACTTAATTCTGGTTAGATTCTTCTTGGGGTTGGAGGAAGGGAGAGTACTTCGTAGGTGGTCACATCTGAGGCTGCATCATGTCTACTTGGTTGTTTTGTGTTGTTAACAGTATCTTTAAAAGTATCTCTAAGAACTTTCTAGTTCTCAGTGGGTTCAGATGTCAGTCTGATCTATTCATTATGAAGAGGGTTTTAATTGAGTTTAGATTAAATCATCTCCCATCTTTATGGGTAAAGTGGTGCAGAAACATTAGAACTTGAGTTACTAAGGTGGTAGTCACGGAGAGTTGTGTAGTTGCTTATCTGAGTTATGTTTCTTTTTAATAGCTGGAAGAAGAACTGAAACAGCAGAAAGAAGCAACTTGCTTCAAGGCTCGTCCAAACAACGTCACCTCCCAGGAGCCTTTTGTTCCCAAGAAAGAGAGAAAACCCATTGCTGGTAGTATTATATATACTCTCAGGGAGTTGGGCAGAATTGTCAGACTTCCCAGGGGGAATGCCTTGGATCAGTTGTTTCACATAATGCTGTGTCAGCCAGAAGCATTTGCCTTTAGAGGATCTAACTTTTCTCCCCCATGACCCATCTTTTGCCTCTGGTGAACCCAACAGCTATGTTGTGTTGCTAAATTAGAACAAGAGCCTGAGCAGAGGTAGCAGGCATTTCAGCAACAGTTTGGCTTTCCTCACCCAAAGACTAGCAAGGGAGTGAGAGGAGGAGAGCCAGAACTACCTGCTGGATTTCACCCTGAAGCAAGACTTAGATATAAAACATTTGATTCCTTAAGCACGAGTCATAGTCTTAGAAAATTGGAATTCTTCTTGTGTATGTGTCTCAAAATTGCTCTGAAGTTTTGAACAAGCAACTTCACCTGTGTGGGTTTTGCTTTTCTTCTCATTAGATGATTTCCAGAGACCCTTCCAACTCTTAAAATTCTAAAACTTTTGTCATGTGGTTTACTCCATCTTTCTCCCAGAGGGGTTCTTTTGAGCTCAGCCTTCTGTTGCTGTGTGTATCTGGGCCACTTGTTGGCTGCATGGGGGCTCGGGTTATGCAAGTCCTGCTTGTGCACCAATATTTCTCTGTTTCTGTACTCAGAGGGCCTTTCTGGTTCTCTAGTTCAGGAACCTTTTCAGCTGGCCACTGAGAGGAGAGCCAAAGAGTGGCAGGAGCTGGAGAAGAAAATGGCTGAGGTGGAAGCCAAGAAAGCCCAGCAGATGGAGGAGGCCAGGCAGCAGGAGGAAGAACAGCAGAAGGAAGAACTGGCCAGGCTACGGAAAGAACTGGTAACTGGGCAACATGACCACTGACTAAGCCATATTTGTCTGTTTCATTTTATCTGTACCTCAGCTCTTTTTCAGAGAGGATTTAGGTGCCTAGAAGGACACATCAAAGACAGCTGACGAGGAAATCACACAAACCAGTGGTGGTGACAAAACGGACGTGAACAAGGCTAAAGATGTGTACCTTGTGATCCATGTAGCTGCTACGTTTGAGCCATAATTTTGGTCCTTTTTAGGAACCAACCTGTTAGCTACAAATTCAACATGTTCACGAGCTCTAAACATGCCTAGTTGTTCCAAAAATGTATTTATCCCTGCTACTGAATTCAGACAATTTCTTCCAGAGGTCTTCATAAGGAGGGCATTATGTGGTGTAGCCATGCAATGTGATGCATTCCTAGGCCCTCTTTTAATTCATTGAACTTCAATTAAAAAATAATTTTTATTATTTTAAAGCTCAAGAAGAATCAATGTGTTACAATTAGACAAGAATACGTAGATAGGGAAGGACATGGAAATTGTGTGATGATTTTTCTTCCCTCCTAATACTTGGTTCAAACTTCTTACAGTTTTAATGCCTATTGGTCCAGGTCACCCTTCATGGGAATGCTAGCAAAATGATTTAGATATTAGCTGTCAAAAAAGAAAGCTTACAGTAAGGATGCCTTCACCAGGAGGCCAGTGGACTGCGTTCACTGCATTACTGCAAAGACTCTTAGATGGAACTTCATATGATTACTGTAAGGTTAAATATCGAAATACATAAGTTATTGAGGTTTTGCCCAAAAATGCTAGGCCAACAACAGATGCAGCTGTTGACGGAGGTGATTATGGCCTTAAGAAGGCTCTAGGACTATTTAGGAAACTAGCTTCTGGGCAGAATCCAAACTAACATTTGTTAATGGGATGGAAAAAACCCAGTACAATCACCACTCCATATGTACTTACAAAACCAGCTGCTTTTTCAGGCTGACGTTGGTTTTTCTTTAGCTAGTTTTCATGGTACCTGCCCCTTGTGTTTGTCTCCATCTAGAACTTTTTCTTACAGCTGTTCTCAGTATGGGCTGATACCAACATCCTAAAGCACAGTTCAGTTAATGCTAGTCAGTGCTCTAGTAATTGGGCTGGATTGGGGATTGAAGATTTTAAACTGCCCAGGAGAATGGAGGGACATCTCTTAGCATCCTTCCTGATTGTTGCTTTTTTTGTTTTTCTTTTTTGGTCCATGCTTTTGGTGACTATTAAGACTCAGTAAGCTTGAGATTGTACTCTTGCAAAGTCCTAGCATGTATTTCTTCTCTGCTAAGAGAGTAATAAAAATCCAAACTAGAGAAAAGTTTGACATTCTTTAGTGCAAACTGAGGAACCCAGCATGACCTGGATAGAAACCTGTTTGGGCTTCAAAACTCATGTGCTTTTTTCTGTTATACTGTGTTGCTTTTCTTTATTTTCTCTTTGAATTAGTGACTGATAATATGTAAAATGATTCAACCATTTTCTCAAGAAGAAAAAATTAAAACAACTAGTTCCCTAACATCCCTATTAGTGGTAACTTTTATTTTTCTTACTCTCCAGGTGCACAAGGCACAGCCAATACGCAAATACCAGAGTGTAGAATTAAAGTCAAGTGACCAGCCCCTGACTGTGCCTGTGTCTCCCAAGTTCTCTACTCGATTCCACTGTTAAAGTCGCTGTGAGCTGTGACCACCCTGGGAACAGGAGCTGCTCTTCCTGTCACACCGGGCGCCTTCTTTCTTTGTCACCAAGGCATGGAGAGAACCCATTCCTCTAGACTTTGACCAACGAGTCTAACAGAGAATACCTGACAACTGGGGACTCCATTTTTGTTGAAAATTGTTTTCCCATATTATTGAGGGTAACAATGAGACTCAATTCATGTATGCCTTGATCAGACTCCAGGTAGTTGGTTATTTGTTACAGGTCAGTTAATCTATAATATGGATTTTTACTCTGACTAGAATTTAAAGTTTATCAGCACTGTGTAATTTCTATTGCCCTTTACCTCTCTCCTCTTTTTTTTTATTTTAATCAAAAAATAAAGAATTAATGCTGAGATAGGATTTAAGTCATGGCTTAAATGAGGACCAACCAGTCTATCAGAATCTTTCCTCTTATCTCCACACAAAGTAAATTTAGAGTTAAGGAGCCCTTCACTATGCAGGCAGAAAGCCTCATTACCTGCACCAGTGAAGAAAACTGCATAGGCTAATGGCAACTGCACAGCAGCCATTGGCAAGCTTTGTGTAGAGCTGCTGTTAGGCAGCTCCCTTGTGGGTGCTGATAATAAATAAATGGGGAATGATGCAGCATGCGTTTTAAGTCCTCCAGTGACTTGGAATGGAGTAACTATGTTGTGTTCCCCTCCCTGATTTTGTCATTAGATATATATGTGTGTGTGTGTGTGTGTGTGTGTGCATATGTATATATGTATTTTTTTTTTTCGTAGAAAAACAGGTGTAAACCCAGAGCTTCCGGCAGGGTGGGAGGGGTGGTAAGAGGATTCACCAATGACAGTGGGGAGCAGAACAGGCAGACTGACTGAAATACACTACTGAGGGGAGCAGTGGGCGAGACAGGAAAGATCTGCTGAGCCATGTGGGTTAGCCCCCTGGCTGGGGATCAAACTCAGCCTGTAGAGTTGGATGAGAGATGGTTGCTGGAACTTTCAGAAGCACAGGCTCTATCCTTAAAAGTGCTTTATAACTTTTTTCTGCCTTATGTCAGAATATGCTCCCATATTTTGTTAATTCCCTCCCAGGAACCACCCTGGAAGGCGATCATGTATATTATGCCTTTGCATAGACTCTGCCTTTTTGCCTAAATGTGCTTTTTCTCGTCTGGTAAGCTCTTCATGTACAAGGCTCAGTTGGAGTCACTTTTTTTTAATCCTTCCTTTACCACCTGAAAATGATAAGAGTGTAAGAATGATTACTTACTCCTTTGTGCCTCCAAAATGTTTCTTGTATATCTCTGGCAGAACAATTACACCATACTCAGGTTATCGATACTTGTACTTATTCACAAACTAGTGGAGACTCAAATATAAGTTCTTTGAGGGTAAATATTATCTTACTCATCCCTGAATTTCTTGTAGGTGGCACAACATTCATTAAGTCCATGTTAAAGTTGTATATTTTTCTTTTAGACGATATTGTTTATAAATACCTATACAAGTTGATACAAAGCATCCATGCTCTGCCCAGGCCAGTCCTAGGCACCACATATAACATTTAATTGATTTTACATTCCCTTATTCAGTGAGCATTATGTACAAGCTATTATGGATTCATTGATGGATAGGTGACAAAGGAAGATATGACTTATAGTTCCTAGGCCTCCTGAGGACCCACAAACAGATGCAAATACAATTGCTTTTTTATTTCCAAGAGTTATAATGATATATTGTTCATAACTACTTACGTGGTTCATTTAACAAATATTTATTTGGTGCTAGTTATATATCTGTATCCCCTCCCTCCCTCCATCACCTTGGTACTGTTGTAGTCTCTGGGAATATAGCAATGAACAAAAATAGAGGACCTTGTCTTCAAGGAGCTTACCACTTAGCGCGGGGCCAGACATAAGCAAGTGACTGTCTCTTCTGTTAGGTGATGTTTCTCTGTTGGGTGGAGAATAGACTGGCATGGAGACAATTGGGGCATGTGAGATTGGAAACAGGAAGGTGAGGAGGTTCTTGCTGTGGTACAGGTAAGAGCTGATATTGGCTGGGGCTAGGGTGGTAGCAGTGGAGGTGGTGAGAAAAGATTGGATTCTGAATGTATTTTGAAGTTGTAACTGATGAGATGTGCTAACAGATCAAATGTGCAGAGTGAAAGAAAGAAGTTAAAGAGGTTCCCCATGTATCAGCCCCAAACAGAAACAGAGTTCTCCACCTGTCATACTACTCCAGTTCAACCCCTTTCTTCACATCTCTTCTGTATTCTTGGGGGACTTTCTTTTTTGGGGCGTCACCTCTGACTTTGGTTTTCTAGTTTTTTTCCTTTCTTGAGTTCCCTTCTGTGTCTGTCCTATGTGACTTTTCTCTAACAGTTCACTGTCCTTAATATACTTCCAAGTGGTTTCATTTTTTCCCATACATTTTGCCCATTTCTTGGTGGTTTTGTGCAGGAGAATAAATCTAGCTTTCAAGTTGAAGCCTTTTGAAAGTGTTATTGAGAATTAAGAACCTTTGAATCCTCCCTTGTTTGCTCCATTCTGGATTACCCCCTCCAGATATACCCACATCAAGTGTGACAAGCTTTTAGATGCAATCAAGAGAGAGTTTATCACTTTCAGAACTTAAAATTTAGGAGACATCATTTTTTGCTTCTGAATTTCTCAATTTTCCTTTGGCTTTCTTTCAGACCACCTCACATGACCTTTTAAGTTGAATTAATAATTTTTTTTAATTGCGGTAACATTGGTGTACAACACTGTATATGACTTAGGGGAATAGGTTTAGTTACAGATGACACCACCCCCACCACCAAAACACTTTACTTCTCTAGCACAGCCTCCCATTTCCTTCAAAACTCAAACACTTCGGCTTTTTTTTTTTTTTTTTTTTTTGCATAAAAGATCAAGGGTGTAGGTTAGAAGTGTTGAGGGTTGAGAGGATTCACTAGAGACAGAGTGCGGAGCAGAACAGGTTTATCTACTGAAATATACTGCTAAGGAGAGGTCTGCTGCGCCCAATGTGGGTTAGCTCCCTGGGCAGGGATCGAACTCAGGCCACAGGCTGTAGAGGTGATAATGCTGAGACTTAACCCCTAGGCCATCAGGGAGGCCCTTCGTTTTATTTATTTAAAAGATTTATTAATTTATGCATACTAGAACTGGGGTGTAGGCCAGAGGTGCAAGGGGTGAGAAGATTTACCAGAGACAGAGTAGGGAGCAGAACAGGCAGATCTACTGAAGTACACTGCTGAGGGGAGCTGCAGGTGAGACAGGAGAGGTCTGCACCATGTGAGTTAGCTCCCTGGCAAGGGATGGAACTCATGCCACAGTGGTTGGCTATAGCTTGATAGCGCTCAGACTTTAACCCCTGCACCACCCGGGAGGCCCGCTGATCATTTTGTTCTTGAGTAATTATATTGTTACCACCTCTACTGCTGTTTTATTTCTTACTACTTCTTTTCCATAGAGTTCTGTCCCTGGAAAGTGGAGCAGAGTGGTAGACAGCTGCAGTTGCGGTTGCTCTAGTGTTCAACAGAGGCACATTGTAACACAAGCTAGGTTGTGATTGAGACAGACGCAAAAAGTGCTGAGAGTGCATAGGGAGTCCTGTTGCAAGTGAGATTGCAGTTATTAAAAATGTTTCTTCTTTTAAAATTAGAAGTAAAGTAGTACTGCCTTTCCAGAACAAAACAATGTAGACTATATAAAATAAAACATGAAAGTCTCCTTGCTTCCCCCACTCCCTTTCCTCACGAATGGCCCATTGTTGACGATTGTGTGTTCTTTATGTACACACAAATTTATAGAGCATTCTAATTTCTGTAACAAGATGATAGCATTCTGCATTTGTTTTAAATTTCAGTTCTTTGAAAGGTTATACGTTCACATGGTTCAAAATTGAAAAGCTACAAAGATAAAGTTTCCCCCAATTGCTTGGTTCCCCTCCCCAGAGATAGTCCTTGCAGAGATGGTTTCTATATGTACTGATTCCTCCTGTACCTTGCTCTTTTATGTGTGTCTGCATTGAATGTGTAGCTCAGGTGCTGCCTTGGGAATGTCCTTTCTTCCTCCCTGATGGAAGCTTAAAGCCTCTGATTGAAAAGCTAGGGACGTGGGGCAGTCCTGTAGGGGCCTCGGTCCTCTACATGATGTCCTGGGCTCGTGACCTGAGGTCCAAGGACTCCAGGGGTCAGCAGCACCTAGTCTTCTCACAACCCGCCTTAGCTGAACATTAGGAGCTTATTGGTTTGAGTGTCTAGTTAGACCTGTGTATTATCCCCTTAGATAAATCTTGACATTGCTTCCTCTTCAGTTTTCTTGAAGAAGGTTATCACACTGAATCTTGTCTGCTGGGGAAGTTCCTCATTGCTGAGAGGAGCAGTTAAAAAAGCTGTTAACCACGTGGCTGGGCTCCTATTTCTGCATAGGTGGGTGAGTTACAGCTTGGTGGTGTGGATCCAGGTAGGAATTGGTCAACATTCTGAATCCTGAGCTGCCATCTGCCTTGCAGCCTGCCGGGATGGTCAGTTTAGACAACATATAAAGTTTCCTGGATACCAGACAAGCCCAGGCCTATGGAAAGAGCAGGAAGGTTAAAGTGTGTGAGAGCAGTGACGAAGGCGTAACCAGGGAGCTAACATGTTTGCTCCAGTGCCAGGAATTCCAGGACAATTTGTTATCCAGTTGAAGCCAGTGTAGTTGCTACAAAAAAGCAGCCTGGGGACAAAAACCTCTTTCTCCCTCATTTCCTTGTGTTCTTGCATACCCACTCTGTTTTCTAGCTGTGGTGAAGGTTACTGACGTTTGGAATGTCTGATGGTATTTGCTACTCTCTGTCTTGCAAGAGAGTAAGTGACTGGGCGCAGGCCAAAGTGGGGCTCTTCTGTGCTGAAGGTGTCAGCTTCCTGTAGGGCTTGACAAGTGCTGACATTTCACTTGGAGACCGAAGCTGGAGGGGCAGGGAAATGCTAGGTTTTGTCAGGAGATGTCTCAGCAGACAAAACCTGACCCCAAGGCATTTGTTGCATTCTCCCTTTTTCTTACAATTTTACTAAACAGGAAAGAAATAAAAACCTGGTCTGTCTGATCTGCAGAAACCATGTAGCGATAGAACTGGTGTTCCAGAACATCATAGGTGGGTGTGCGAATGTGCTAAAAATTGTGGCCAGGCGCCTCTGCCCAGCTTGTTTTGGAATTTGCTCTGTGAATATCTCAACTGGACTTGACAGCATTTTTGTTTCTGTTTTTAAATTGGGATTTATTGATTATATACACTTTGGAAAATACCTGGTCATGGGAGGAAAGAAAGAAATGCATTGTTCCTTTACCCACCTTGAAACTAGTGCTTGGTATAGTCTATTTTTTTCTTGTATGAAACTTTTGTGTATTTTTCTACATTGTAGGGTTTCTTTTCCTATATGTACATATATAATATTCTGGTTTTTTACCTCAAATATTTTTTCTATAGCATGTATACTTTATAAATACTGATTTTAACAGCAGCTCCCTTTGCTTTGAGTTTGTATCTCCCCATTGAAAATAAGTACTTAGCAAAAGATTTTTCTGGAGTCTCTTTAAGGGATAGATTTGTTCACCCCCGCAACCCCAAGGTATCATGTCTATTTCTAAACTTTAAATGACTGTTTCAAATTACTTATCAGTCAACTTTTATAATTAAAACATTAAAGAGAAAATATAAGTCCCTCCCAAAAGCATTGTTAATGGGATGCTCCTTTCAGCTGATGTATTTTCAATATTACTGACTCCAATGCCCAGTGAAGTTTAATTGGCATTTAGAAAGCCTTTCAGGAGACTGCTCTAGTTATTTTAAAGTCTTGGGAGCCTGTGTTTTGAAATAGACTAACACAGGTCAGATTTGAAAAGAGAACACCTTTTGTCTTTCTTAAACTTGAACTGGGGTCGTGGTATGTCTTGAGAAAGTAGGGGCAGTAAATATAATTTCACTTCTGTCATTGACAATACTGGGTGATCTTTAGTAAGTCTTTCTTGCTTTTCCGGACCTGTTTTATGTCTGTCAAATGATATTGAACTAGGATGACAGTAAGGCTCTTTGTTTTTTCTTTTTTAAATATTTATTTATTTATACAAGAACCGGGGTACAGGCCAGATGCGTGGGAGGGCGAGAGGACTCACCAGAGACAGAGCCGGGAACTGAACAGGCAGACTGATGAAATACACTGCTGAGGGGAGCAACGGGCATGACAGGAAAGGTCTGCTGCGCCATGTGGGACCCTTGCTGGCTGGCTGGGATCGAACTGGCACTGCAGAGGCTGCGGGCAGCTTCACATCGCGGCGCTCAACCACCTGCGCCACCAGGGGAGGCCCGACAGTAAGGCTCTTTGTACCTTGAATATTTTCATAATTTTTTCTAGACAGTTGGTTCTAACCACACCCACCCTACCTTCATATTTATATCTTTCCGTGACCAGCTGCAAGAGGGCATCTCTAGCAAGCTCTGTAGCCCCTGCATTTCCATTTGAACTTCAGTGAAGTATGTTGGAGAACAGTGCGCTAGCTTGTTGAGGACTTTCCAAGGGTGGTTCTGTAAACGGAAATCCAGCCCAGATCACCCCGGGGTACTAATCCCTGAACAGTGTCCTCTGACACACACACATATTTTCTGGTATTTCTCTTGACCTTGGAACTGGCGAAAACTTCATAGAATGTTCACAGAATTCTTACAGATCACAGCAAGGAAGTCCTTGGTGATCTAGCAGCGGTTTGATTGTTGGAGCTTAAGGATGTCACAGGAAAACTGATAACCTCGACTGCTGCTCCGCTGTTTCCACCACAATTCAGTTTTCACAGTGTTTGGAGCCCTCGGCACTTGGATTGTGTTGGGATAATTGTCTTGGGGTTCAGGGGAAACACAATATTTTGTGAAATGAGCCCTAGATTCAGAATTGGGAGAGTGACTTCTGATGTTTGCCCTTGAGTATATGTCATTTGAATTCTCAGGGCCTCGATTAAAGGATGGGCCCTCCAGCCCTGTGGATGGGAACTTGTTCTCAGCTTTAACATGAACCAAAGGCACTCCGGGAAGCAAGAGTCACATCGGTCACTTATTCCTCTCTATTGGCCAGTGTGACTCAGCGTGACCATGCCTGAGTCATATATTCAGTATTAATTGTCAGTGGGCATGTGTCACCAGGGGTTGCCAGAAGCCCCTGCTGTTTACCTGAAGTTAACACCTAACAGGACAAGGCCGGCAGCTGCCAGTTAACAACCAGCGAAAGGAGCAGGACTGTTCCGGGAGGGGACTCTGGGAGTTTGTGCAAGCAAGAAAGCCCAGGGGTGTGTGCTGAGTTTGTGGAAGGGAAACTGATTCTTATTTGTACATTAGCCTTTTTCTCTGCAGCAACAGAAAATGAAGACAGGAAGCAACACAGAGCAAACAGGAGCTGGAGGGGCTCCCAGTACCCACCCCCTTCCCTCAGTGGCTTAGCTTCTGAGCATCTCCCTCGTGGAAACATGAGCTGTGCTGACAGTTGGGGCTGAGTGTTCCTGTGTTTTCCTCGTACACATACCAAAATACTCCTACTCCCCAGAGACCTCAGGAAAATGGGTATTAGCATTCTGGAAGCTCAGCAACTTGGCCTGGGGGACTGATCTAGGACAGTGGTCCTCTGTGTGGTCTGCTGGCCGGCAGATCAGCATCACTGGGACTAGAAATGCAAATTCTCCAGTCCTACTGCAGAGCTACTCAGTGAGACACTATGGATGTGGGCCCCAAGTGGGTTTTACCAGCCCTCCTGGAGACTGATGCACACCCAGTGTAAGCCACTGCACCAGGAGAGGGACCTGCAGGTCTGGGTAGACAGCAGGCCTCCCAGCCAAGAAGCCAGCAACTCTTCTCTCCTTTGACCCTCAGTGTCCAGTCCCAGCAAGCACTGGTCTGGAGGCAGGACCCCTTTCCTTCTCTGCAGAGCGCCCCGGGCGGTCTGTTCACATACACAGGAGAGCTGCTGAGTTTGTTGAGTAGGAATTTCTCTCCGCAGCCAAGACACCACTACCACAAGAAGATGGAAGAATGCTTTTCCATATGTCCTTCCAACAAGTCATATGAAAGATGAGGAAACTGAGGCTTGGAGCTTAAGTTACTTTTCCGAAGTCACATTGCTAGTAGTGGCCGAATCAGAATTTGGACCCAGGTCTGTCTGCCCTCAAGTGCCCTTTCCACCACACCAGTCACGTCCCTTGACTAGAGCCAGCCATAGGGACTGGGTATCTTCTGGACCTCCCCCAGTGTAGGGCCTGGCTCAGGGGAATTGAATAACACTTTGATCAAAGACTGCCCTGGGTGAGGAGAAAAAGAAGTTGCTGCAGGGCCAGCAACTCAGGACTTTGCTGCAAGTGTTTTCTGAAGATTCCCTCACTGAACTCTTATCCTTGCTGTGGGGACCTCTGGCTAAGCTTCCCAGAGACTGGGAGGCAGGTCCTCGTCCTCAGTTGCACACACCAGGCATCTCCTCAGGCTGTGCAGGATGCTTGGGTTCCCGTCAGGGATGTGTGGCCGCTGCCGCCAGTCAATTAAGTCATAAGTCTGGGCAGGCCTGAATGATTGCCAAGGTGGTCGGATGCCAAGCAGACTACAGCCAGCCTTTGACTCAGTCCAGCCCACTCCTCACCCTTCATTTAGATGCCCCGTCACCGTTCCAGGCAGGGCCCTCTTTTCCCAGCAGCAGCTCAGAGCTTGCCATGCACCCCCTGTTTCTTATGGTAACCCACTTTAGCAAACGGACCTGGAGCTTTCTAAATAGCACGATGGTAGGCAGGGAAGCTGACCTGTGCAATGGGGCAGAGTGTGCATTCCCCATTTTTTGAGCCATTTCCTGAGATCCTGTGACAGGAGTGGCCAGATAAAGCCAAACCACTCTTCTGGGTTGGACTCCACACACTTGGGTCTCACTGCCACTCTTGTTTTGTGTTCACATTTGTCCCCAACCCTCACTAGCCCTGCCTTCAAGAGACGGTGCTTCCAAGTCAGCTCCTGGGACATTTCCTGTTCTTGGAACAGCTGCACCAGCCTGGGGTACCCTCCTGCTATTTGATCCTATAGGGAGGTGTCCAATGGCCATGAGCAGTTTTCAGATGACCTTGTTCTTCTGACGTCATTAGACTGCTATTTTGGGCTTCGCTGTTTATGCTGCAGAGAAGTTGGGCTGGGCTGGGGGAGAGGGTGAAATTGTGAAGGAGGGGTGGGTCTTGGTTGCCCATTGACCCAGGGCCCTCCACTTAGCCTTCAACAATCACAGAGTACACACTGAACGTCAGGTCCTGGGAGCTGATGACAAATTAAGTGTGAGGGCTCTGGAGCCTGAGGCTCGGGTTTAAGTTCCCACCCCCTGAATGCTATCTCTGAAACCTTGGGCGGGTTAATAGTTACATCATGGTGCCTCAGTTTCCTCTTGGAAATGGGAGTGATAATTAGTACTCACCTGACTCAGTGGCCATGAGGATTAAAGGAGTTAATATCTGCGTCTGGCACGCGTAAATACGCACCATCAGCGTTTATCACTAGTACAACAGCACCGCTGCTTTTTGCCTGTGTATCGCTTTCCCCTAACTTGGGGGGTGTTCTAGTGATGTGGGGTTCCGTTCCTGCCCTGGGAGAGCCTCAGCGCATTGGCTCTCCACCCCAATTGTACAACAGAATCTTCTGGGGAAATTGAAAATACCAACATGCTGGGTCCCACCGCCCGACTTTCTGACTTAATTGGTCTGCATCTGGAGGGGCTGGAGGGGCTGCGTCTAGAGGGGCTGGGGCTCAGGACTCGTGAGGCTCTGCAGGGGTTTCCCATGTGCTTCAGGGTTGAGAGGCCCTGGCCAGGTCTCTAGAGGGACGGAACTCAGAAGCACTTAGCCAGTTACTCCCAGGGACTGCCTCGGAGCTGGCTTGGGTGTGCGTGAAAACCACCCAAAATGCTAATTATAAGGGCAGGGTCTTGGGGCCCCATTCCAAGGAGCCTTCATTTTAAACTGGGCACTAGGCACTGAGGAAGTCATGCCTGAAACTGAGAAGTCCTTCCTCACCAGTCCCAGAGACTCCACCTCTGAAGCCCTATGGTATTCAGCATTTCAGGCGGAGCTCTTACCACTTGGTCCTGAATTGCAGAAATTTGAGTCTGTTGACATGTTTTAGGTTACTCTGTTTAGAGTTATCTAAATGAACGGTTTAAAATAATTGGAAACTCCAGGTAAAGAATAAAGTCATCTTCATTCCCACACCTGTTAATATGTATACTTACATCCCTTGAGACATTTTCTCTCGAAACCTTTTTTTCAAAGGATGCCATTTTATGAATGAGTTTACAATATTTCCACCTCAAAATGCAATATGTGGTGATGCTGTGTAGCTTTCCCCCAACTTTATCTCTGTGTCCCCACAGGGAGAGCTTTGGCCCTTGCGACAGTATTCAGTAAATAATCTTAGCATTAAAAATTCTCAACTCGGGAACATAACAGTGTATCATTTGTGTTTCCAGAGAAATCTACATTCCCCACACAGAATGTCTCTGCGACTCTGCTCCAGCCCTTGAGGGGAAGGCAGGGTTGGCTGCAAGGACAGCAGCCTTGCGAGGGCTTTCCCAGGGGCCCGAGTTCCTGCCAAAACCCGGGGATCAGGGGCCCAGGGTGGGAGAGGGCAGGAGGAAAGGAGATGCTGTGGCAGCCTGGGGTGGCTCCCAGACCAGGACCGGAGGGAAAGTTGCGAGAGGAGTTGGCGGCTCTCTTTGGAGTCAGGTCATTGCTCAACTCCCTGGATTTTCCATCACAGCCGAGCAAGGAGAGGGTCAGGCCAGGAAACGTCTCCTCTGAGCAGGTCCTTTTAAAGTGTTTTGGCTGGATCAATTTCTCCCCAGGAGCCAGGAAGGCAGAACCCGAGTGGAGTTAACTCCTCCACTCCCAAGGAATTCTCCCTGGGATGGTGAGCCTGGGAGCCCAGGTTTCTGGAATGCAGAGCCATCCAGGGCAAGAGGCCTAAGGAGCCGTGAACTCTGGCCGGAGAACCTTCTCTCTGGCCTTGTTAAATCCAACAGGCATAATTGCATCCTGCTGACCTTAATTCCCCTGGCGGATTTAATTGGTTCTGGCACTGCCCCACTACCTGCCCTGTCCCTATAGAGGAAGATGGTGGCTGCACAGCTGGTATGCAGTGGGAAGGCCCCTCTCAAGGGTAGGCAGGGGCTCTGGCAGCCCCCGACTGGGTGGAGTAGATTTCCCTTGCTCCACCCCTGTGCCTCCAGGGGAGCTTGGAGAAGAGGGACTCCCAGGGAGCAGCTGGCTGAGCTGAGCTCAGCTGAGGCAGGCAGCAAGCTGCGGGCAATCCTGTGGATTCGGAACCGGGCCAGCCTCTCATCCCAGCGGGAGGGACTGCGGAGGAACGTTCAGGGACAGCTGAGCTCTCTACCTGGGATGTCCACAGAGCTAGCGAGACACATTATGGCCAGCACTCTATGCACATGTGCTCGCTGAGTGCTCTGGGCCACCCTGCAGAGCCTGGCGGGGAACTAAGCCTTGGGTTGGGGGCGCAAACCCAGTGCCGGGACTTTGCCTGGTGACGGTCTCCCTGCAGCATCTGTGTCCCGTGCTCTGTCCCAAAGGCTTTCTTACCCCCTCTTGGGAGGAAGGTGCTCATCTTGCAATGAGGAAAGGAGGGAAGGCTTCTGCCTAATTCTCACTCAGCGTCTCGGAGCCTCAGGCTTTTCGAAGGCTGAACCATGGACACGGCTCATGAGGTTGCTCTCCCCCGGGCCTGGCTCCCTTAGTCAGAGTTCAGTAAACACTGGGAATCGTAACAGTAACAAAGACGGCAAAGAAGGCCCTCCTCTCGGGTCAGCCTGGACTCGGGTCTCATGGGGCAGCAGCTCTGGGTCTGAATCTGGGTAGCGTGAGCTGCTCTGGGGACAACGCTCTTACCCTCTTCAGTGTCAGTTCCTGCACCTTCACATTGGTCTAACACTTGGCCCCCAGGCCCCTTGTGAGGGTCCAGTGAGCTTGGCAGAGTCAGCCTGGCCCTTAGCGGGCACCCACTTGGTAAACAGTGGGTATTGACAAGCGCTGTCACAACAAGGGAGGTCAGCAAGGCCGACATGGGAGAGTAATCCCACAAACCCCGGTCCAGAGCCTCGTTAGTCACCCAGTTATTTACTCACCAAACACTGACTGGCAAGTACACTTTGTGCTGGGGACACATGTGAGTATCATACAGCCCTGCCCTCGAGGGGCTCTAGACAGTGTCTGGTGGCACCAGCCAGGGTGCTGAAGTGGCCAGAGCCGGGGGTCAACATTTCAAGCTAAACCAGAACATGCTGTGGGAAGGACCAAAGAGAGGTCCAGGGGCTCCAAGAGCGGGCACAGACAGACAGCCCGCCCCTCCTTCAGAATTCACGGAGAGATCTGTAAAGGGTGTCCCGGCAAGGGGGGGCAGGTATAGACTGGGGAATTTTAGGGAAGAAAGAGGACTTCAGGTTTTGAAGGGGGTCATTTCTGGTTCAATTTCCTTCCTGTGGAGCAATCACATAAAATTCACAATTTATGCTCCGTCTTCATCTAGAGAATTGGATGAAAGCCCCAAGAGTTATTATGGAGATGATGTTTGAAGAGGATGTTTGAAGATGATGTTTGAAGAGGATGTAAGTTACTTAGTCTCCTTGTCTCAGTTTCCCTACTTGTAGCTGAACCTCCCTCATAGGTTTGCGCTGAAGATCACATGAGTGAATCCACGTTAGAGCGCCTAGCGTGAGTCCAGGCAGGCGGCGAGTACTATACAAGGAGATATTAGTATTTTTGCTTCCTAGACTGGGGCCTTGAAGGAGAAAAATGCAGAAAAAGAGGGCCAGGCAGAGCCAAAGTTGTCAAGCCAGGGGAAGGAAGCCCAAGTCTTTTTGCAAACCTGCACCAACAGCCTCCAACACTTGCTCACTTCAAGAAGAAAATCACTCATTTTGAATAGTCAGCTCTTCACATAATTCTTGGTTCAAGTGTTAAAGTAAAGGGTCCACCCTTTTACTTTTCGTCTCTCCCCACCCCTTCCTGCTTAGCCTGCCAAAGGGAGCCTGGTGTGTGTATGGACTGAAAACTTCTCTATTGTTTATTATTATGTTAAAACAGTATCTATTTTACCCCCTTGACCCCCATAATAGCACACTCGACTGGTGATTCTGCACCTTGTCCCCTCTGCCCCGCCTTCTGGAGACTGCTTCCTAGCAGCTTGTCCATGGCTCCCTCAGTCTTTTTACAGCTACTTGATCCCTCACTGCTTCGGCGAGCTGCACTCTCTTGTCTAAGGGCAGGGTCATCGCCTCCATTTGACAGAGGCGTCCAGGCCGTGGAGTGGGGCGTGCCTGGCTGGAGCACGTCAGGACCTGGATGTCCACGCCGGAGCTCCTTCCAGCCGGCACAGCAGGCTCTGGGCATACAGCCCCTGTGTGAGGGAAGACCCCCAGGGTCCCACCTCTCCCCACCCCATCACAGCCGCAACACCTCAGTCTGGAGTAGCCCCAATGTGGTGGAGGGAAGACTGTCTCCCCGTCCCACCCCCTTCCAGGTGGCTGCTGGAGAGAAGTGGATGGGCTCAGCGGAGGGGAGGGGTACGAGGGTGCTGACACCTCCCACAGTCACTCGGGGCAGCCTCCATCTCTCCAGGAGGCCAAGAAAAAGACATTTTCAAAGACCCATGGGCAGGTGGAGTAAGTGGACCTGAAACAATTTCTTACCCAACGACGCTCCTAGGAGGTCCACTGTCAGGAGCAGGGACCGTGGGCACAGAGCTGGGCTCTTGGGTCAGGGTGAGAATCCCTGGGCCTGTGTAGCTCTTACCAGAACCACAGGAGCTGTGGTGCACTGATGGACAGAGCTGGAGCGAGCAGGCCTGGGGAAAGGGCTGCTCCCCCAGGGCCCCAGGTACCCCCGCCCTTTTCTCTTCCTGCTGTTCCAGCTCCACTCTCCCTCCCACCCCCTCGGTCCGTGGGAAGAATGCCGTGTCCTCTGAACGGGGGCCAAGAGTGACAGGTGGTGGCAGTCCGAGCTGCATGGCCCCTGGTGTAAGAGATCCTCTCCTCCGTCCCCGCCTCCACTGCCCGCACCGCTGCCTCCGCCTCTGCCCACCCGGCCCAAGCCCTTACAACTGCCCCGGGACTGCTCCTGGGCAGCCACCGAGAGCCAGCCAGCCACCAGGTTGGCTCTTTGGTCCAGGTACTTCTCTCCCCTCCATCAGCTGGCCCCAGCCACCTCTCGGCGGCACAAGACAAGGAATCTGACAGCCTGATGCACCACGCTCTTCTTTCTGCAGTTAGACAGACTTGAGTTAGACAAGCAGAAGCACACGCCTACCTACCTCATGGCGGCAGAAAACGGAGCAGTCGAGCTGGAAGTCCCGAGCCCAGCAACAGGTGCCAGGCTGGGGCAGGAGACGGAGGGAGGAGCCTGGGGAGGGGTGTCTGAATCCATGGCTGGGTCTGTTCCTCAATGGTGGTTCTGTGTCCGAGGCTGCTTTGTATGGCACGCTGGGTTCCCAAAAGTGAGAATGATCTTGGGGTAAGGTTGGGCTGGGGGAAGGGCCTCCATGGAGCTCACCCCAGAGAGACTGGGAAACTGGGAAACCCCCATGGATGCACCTATATGCAGGGGGTGGTGGGGCAACAAGTCCTGCTAGAGGGCCAGATGCTGCCCACCCAGGGTGTCCAAGGTACAGGCAGCCCACCCAGAACCCCTCAAGCAGCCCAGAGGCTCAGAAGGATAAAGATTTGCAAACTGTTGCCTGCTGGGGTGAGGAGCTGGTCTCTGGCTGGCCTGGCAGGGGATAAAGGGGGAGGAGGTTGGATCCTGACTGGTATCTCACCTCCTTTGCAGATAAGTCATCTAAAGGTGCCGCAGGTGAAGGACCCCTGGCTGCAGAGAAAGATCTTGGTCATGCAGACCCAAAGAAGGATCCTGACCCCCCAGACCCACAGAAAGAACCTGGCCCCCCAGACCCAAAGAAAGAACCTGGCCCCCCAGAACCAAAGAAAGAACCTGGCCCCCCAGAACCAAAGAAAGAATCTGAACTGCCAGACCCAAAGAAAGAATCTGCCCCTCCAGAACCAAAGAAAGAGCCTGGCCCCCCAGAATCAAAGAAAGAACCTGGGGCCCCAGACCTGAAGAAAGAAACAGGTCCCCCAGACCCAAAGAAGGAAACGGGCCCCTCAGACCCCAAAAAAGAACCTGGACCCCCAGAACCAAAGAAAGGAACAGGCCCCCCAGACCCAAAGAAAGAAACAGGCCCCTCAGACCCAAAGAAAGAAACAGGCCCCCCAGACCCAAAGAAAGAAACAGGCCCCTCAGACCCAAAGAAAGAAACAGGCCCCCCAGACCCAAAGAAAGAAACAGGCCCCCCAGACCCAAAGAAAGAAACAGGCCCCCCAGACCCAAAGAAAGAAGCAGGGTCCCCAGACCCAAAGAAAGAAACAGGCCCCCCAGACCCAAAGAAAGAAACAAGCCCCCCAGACCCAAAGAAAGAAACAGGCCCCCCAGACCCAAAGAAAGAAACAGGCCCCCCAGACCCAAAGAAAGAAACAGGCCCCCCAGACCCAAAGAAAGAAACAGGCCCCCTAGATCCAAAGAAAGAAACAGGCCCCCCAGACCCAAAGAAAGAAACTGAGTCCTCAAACAAGAAGAAAGAACCTGACTCAGCCCCCCTGAAGAAAGATGCCAGAGGTCCTGGCCCAGAGAAAGGAGACAGTGCCCTGGCCCAGCCCTCAACCAGCAGCCAGGATCCAGAGGGAGCAGGGGGCCTGGGCGGGGGTCCTGCGGAGGGCAGTGCCGGGCAGCCGGCAGCCCTGCCCCAGCAGACGGCCACTGCTGAGGCCAGCGTCAAGAGGCCGCCAGCCGAGCAGGGCCCCTCAGGCAGCCAGGATCCCAGAGAGCCCAAGGTGCACAGGATGGAGGCCAAGGGCCAAGAAGCAGCCAGGAGGGGCTCACCTGCCTTTCTGCACAGTCCCAGCTGTCCTGCCATCATCTCCAGGTGAATGCCCCCGCCTGGGGGTGGGAGGGGTCCCTGTCGTGGGGGCCTCGCTAGATTCCTGTCTCAAGCATCACTGTCGTGACCTCCAGCTCTGGGCAGTGTAGCTGGCATGCTCAGCTCCCTCTGTCCCGGGCATCAGTCTTATTCTTTGTCCCCCTGCAGAAACCAAGCCTTTGTGATAACTCTTGGACACCTGAATGGCAGGAGAGGTCCTCAAAGACCTCCCCCAGAGTTCCCCTTACTCCATGAATCTGAGTCTAGCCAGGGGCAGGGCTAAGAAGTCTTCGTAACGTAATTGCTGGTGTTATAGGGAAAGATCACAAATAACCAGGTTGATAGATCATTACTAATACTTCATAACCATAATATAACACGAGTTTTATGATGCAATCAGTTATACTTACCTGAATGCAGATCATGTTAAAGGAGTCATTAATGACATATTTTAAGCCACAATAGTAGCACCATATCAGTTTGAATTATGTATTAATATCAGTCTCATCACCATAGTTTTTATGACTCAAAAACTACATAATTTCCTAATTGTGTCCAGATAATGATGAACCCAAACCAACAACCCTATTGTAGTTTTTTCTTTTTTTAAAAAAGATTTATTTATTTATTTATACAAGCACCGGGTACAGTCAGAAGCGCAGGAGGGTGAGAGAATTCACCAGAGCCAGAGTGGGGAACAGAGCAGGCAGAGGGACCGAAGTACACTGCTGAGGGGAGCAGCGGGCGGCAGGAGAGGTCTGCGCGCCATCTGGGACCCTCGCCGGGGGCCGGAACCGGCGCTGCAGAGGCTGCGGGCAGCTTCGCAGCCCAGCGCTCAACCGCTGCGCCACCAGGGGAGGCCCCTATTGTAGTTTTTGATGATCTATTAGTGCTTGATGGGGAAGAGAATGACCTCAGACATTTACGGTATTATTAATATCCCTTGATTTTGTATTCCGTGAATCGGGTCATGTTGCCCAGTGCCTTGGGGGCAGGGCAGGGTGGATTAGCTCTGGACTGCAGGTGAGGCTCTGGAAGCATCAAGACCCGCTTGAGGCACAGCAGGGCTACGGCTGCTGAGGGCGTCATCTCTGCTCTCATGTTCTAGCTCTGAGAAGTCGGTGATTGAAAAACTCCCAAATGAAGCATCTGAGCTCGTCTTTGAAGGGGTGCCTGTGGTCCCCAGCCCCATGCATCCCGAGCTGGCCAAAACAGCAGAAGGAGGGAAGACTACCCTGGCAGGAAGCCCGAAGGAAGCAGGAGAGAAGGCCCCGAGCCAGGCTGGCCAGCCCAAGGTGCAAGGGGACACCTCGACGGGGATGGAGAGGCCGGAGCTGGGGCGGGCCCTCTGTCCCCCAGCCCGGGAGGAGGACTGCTTCCAGATTCTGGGTAGGCCAGGGTGGGTGGGACTGGGTCACCCTAGGGAGTAGGGAAGGGGCCTCCCCATCTCCTTGTTTAGAGGATTGAACTGCTCTGAGCCATGCCTCACCCAAGCTGACTCCCACGTGTCACACAACGCCAGGAAGTCCAGGTTCCTAGTCCCTCTTGATAGATGGGGAAATGAAGGCCAGAAAAGGGAAACGCAGCGCCCCCAAGCCCACAGCCAGGCCAGGCCGTCAGGCCAGCCCCACTCTAGAGCTAAATTTGATTTTCTTCTACTTTGGCTAAAATGGAGTTTTAAAAAACAGGCAGGTGACTGGAGCAACACCAGCTCTCTGGACAGTGGCATTTTAAGTCAGTCTATAGAAGGGCTCAAAACCTGGCCTTCCACAGTTATACTACATCCAGGAGGGAGAGGTGGGAGGCCGAGCAGGGTGCCATGGGAGATCTAGAGGGTTCACGAGCAGGGAGGACAGTGTCTGTCTTCTGTGGGAGCAGTGACCAAGGAAGCTGGGGTGTGCGAAGGGGCAGCATGGTGGAGTGGCCTTTGGGGCTGGTCAGGCCAGGATGTGATTGTCTAGTCAGCAGGCAGCATGAGTGAGCCTGGCCAGCAGGTGAAGGGAGAAAGGCCCTGAGCAGGGGTGTGGGGCTGGGGGAGGGTGAGATGGGGTCAGGAGAGCCCAGAGTGTCCTGACACCCCCCTCCTCCGGGCTGAGGTGCCCGGGGAGACCGGCCAGGCTGCCTGGTGAGCGGCACTGTGCCACCCAGACAGGGTGGGAGGGCCTGGCGGCTGGGAGGCAGCCAGGAGCCCTGCCTCCTCCTGGGAGCAGAGGCAGAGACCTCTGCCTTGCTCCGCCCAGAAATCACATCCTCGGGGTGACGGGACCTGAACAACCTCCAAGGGCCCTCTGATTTATCACCAGCCCGGCTTCCCTGTCGCCCTCTTGCTATTTATAAAGAGGTTTCCATTCCCGATGACTCAGCCTGTCTGCTGCCAGGGCACGCTGCTCCCTAAGGTTGCCACTAGGTGGCAGCCTCTCCCTATCAAACATCTCCATTCCTGCCCGCCCCCCCACCCCAACCACCACCAGGGCCAGGCGCAGGTTGGACAACAGTGTTATTGGAGGACGTTGGCACCTACCCCACCAGGCAAAGCACCCCCATATGGCACTCCACTGTGTAGCTCCTTTCATTTTTTTCTTTAATGGGAATGTAGATAACTTGGGATGGAGTCTTCATGTCTTATAGTGTGGGAGGGTCCAAGAAGTCCAATGAGCTGTCCCCATTTTTGTGCAGGAGCTGCCCTCCAACTCCCCAACTGAGGCATGGGCCTCCTAAAGCTATTTAGTGTGTTGGTGGCAGAGCTGAAATTGGAAACTGGGCCTGCTAGCCCCTCTCCTGGAGCCGGCTTCCCTCAGCAGTGACGTCCCCTGGATGGGGCCCAGACCAGGCAGGAGGGGGTGGTGCAGGGATGCATCCTCAGCAGCGCTGACACTGTGAGGGCTCTTCTCTACTCTGCAGATGATTGCCCACCACCCCCGGCCCCCTTCCCCCACCGCATCGTGGAGCTGAGGACGGGCAATGTCAATAGTGAATTCAGCATGAACTCCAAGGAGGCGTTGGGCGGGTGAGAGCTGGGACCCCAGACTCATGGGTGAGGGTAGGCAGGTCCTGAGCCCCAGGGCCTCACATCTTCCCCCTGCAAATCTCAGACACGTCCCAATTAGACATGACCCGTGTGGACCCAGTTCCTTCTATGTGGTCACATCTGTTGTATGCAAATTGTAACATGGGCTGCTCTGTATTCAGTCACTGTCACTCACCCAGCCCTGTTACAGGTCACCCAGAGGAAGCAGTGTTATCCTGTCTGCCTCAGTTTCAGGCATGACACGGAGCCCCTTGGGTGATTCCTACTTTGTAAAGAGCCCTGGAGTTGCCTTCTTCCGGTGCAAGCCCGCGAGCTCCCGCCTCCTTGCACGAGCTTCCTCTCTGAGTGCTCGGTCTTCGCGGCTCAGCCATTTTCCCTGCAGTGGAGCTCACTGCTCAGGAGGGAGTTGGGCTGGCTGGGTTGGGTGCTTCCATCTCACAGTGGGGAATCCAGATGGAACAGAGCACAGCCGCATGCCCAGCTTGGAGTAATCTCAGCCCCAGCCTCTTCCACCTCCAGCGGCAAGTTTGGAGCAGTGTGTACCTGCACAGAGAAAGCCACGGGCCTCAAGTTGGCAGCCAAGGTCATCAAGAAACAGACCCCCAAAGACAAGGTAGTGGGGGCTGGCTAAGTGGGGGATTTTGGCAGTGGGCGCCTTTCACCTCCCTCTACCCATGAGTCTTGGGCGGGACCTGGTGTGCAAGACTTAGGTCCTGAAGATGTCACGCAGATAGACAGACGGCCAGGCAGCCCAGCCACAGGCCCTTGACACCCTGGGCCAGAAAGCAGAGCGCTCAGTTAGTGGCCTTGTCGTGGAAACGCCCCTTCAAGGCTCGGCTCTTCCTACTCTTTCCGGGGTACAAGTCCACAGACACTGAAGAGTTTGTGCTCTGGGTCCCATCCCGTGCTGGCCCCTGGGGCTCCCCCTGAAGTGAAGCAAATGTGGCTCCCCGCTCAGCGGGGTAAACAGGCTTGGTCTGGAGTGTGCCTCAAGCACCCAGCCTGGTTCAGAGGGGCTGAGGGAGAGCCGTGTTAGTTCGGGGCATGGATGGGTGAGGGAATGTGGGCAGAAGTTCACAGGGGGTGCGAAGCGGCTGGGGCGACCCAGCAAGCGACTGCAATGAGGTGACTCAGGAGGTCAGGGCGGGCTAGGAGGAGGTGCAGAGCGGACTCCGGACTCCGCCGGCTGGGTCTCTAATGAAGGCTTGGAAAATGAACAGCTTCCTGGCGAAGAAGCAGGGAAGAGGGTGGCATGCAGAGGGGACTGTGGAGGAAAGACCCGAGAGTGCCTACTAGGAACCTTTGAGTGTGGGGGGGAGGCCCCCTGAAAAGCTGGGTCATGGGCTTTCCTGACAGTCTATGGCAGAAATATGGAGCCCCCAAAGAGCCCGAGCAAGAGCTCTGGCGTGTTGCAGCCCTAAATTCCCCTCCGCGCTGAGCACATTTGGAAGGAATGTGTTTTCTGCCTGACCCTGCCTTCTCTGCCGCTTCCATCCAGCGGGCCTGGACCCTTGGTGCTGGCTGCCAGGGCCCAGCCCCTGGTGGACCCCGCAGCTTGGGCACTCAGAACACACGTGCTGGGTGAATGACTTGGAGTCGGTGGTTGATGCAGCCATGATCGAGCACCTGCTCTGTGTCGTTTGCTCCGTGTTTAGACTCGAAAGCAGTGGGATGAGATGAGAGGGTCTGTCATCTAGTTTGAAGGTAGAGCCAGGAATGTCCTGACCGAGGGAGAGGATGTGGGGCACGAGGAAGTGGGAGGGTGCGAGGGATCCTGTGACCTGGGTGCATGTTCTCTTGCAGACGGGCAAGCTGAGGGCAGCTGGATTGTGGGGAAGGGGCGATGAGGAAGGTTTAGTTTTGGGCATGACAGAGTTGAAGTTCCTGTTAATCATTCAAGGAGATGGCAATGAGGCTGGGGCTCCAGGGGCTCAGAGGTGGAGCCCTACTGAGAGTCAATTGCATTTGGAGGGCCTGGCAATTCTTGGGGCTTGAGGATAGAGAGTGCGGAGAGGGGATGTGTGGAGGATGGGATCCTGAGGTGCCCTTATATTCCATCAGGAGGAGGAGGGGTCCCAGCAGGAATAGCGGGGTGTGTCAGGACAATAGGCTTGGGGTGGGGAGAGATGGAGGCAGGGGCACCGCAAGCAGGGGCTTCAGGGGTAGTCAGGTGAGGCCTGAGAGTAGTCTAGCCAGGGGCGCAGGGCTGAGGGGTGCCTGGAGAGGACCCCCGACTTCCCTCTGCCCCAGGAAATGGTGCTGCTTGAGATCGAGGTTATGAACCAGCTGAACCACCGCAACCTCATCCAGCTGTACGCGGCCATAGAGACAGCGCGCGACATGATCCTGTTCATGGAGTAGTGAGTGGCACGGTGGGGCCGGGGGCCGGGGAGGGGGGCCAGCAGGCCCGGAAGCAAGCCTGTCGAGGGGTCTGTGCACACAGCATCGAGGGCGGCGAGCTCTTCGAGAGGATTGTGGATGAGGACTATCACCTGACCGAGGTGGACACCATGGTGTTTGTCAGGCAGATCTGCGACGGGATCCTCTTCATGCACAAGATGGGGGTTCTGCACCTGGACCTCAAGGTACTGGGGCTGGGGCCTCCCCGGAGGGGTCGGGAACACCATCCGACTGCCTTCTGTGGGCGCTGAGACCAGCCGTCCCTGCGGCCGCCCAGTCCCCCATTCTTCCTTTTCTTTCTCCATCCATCCTTCCCTCTGTACATTCCAAAGGGTTTATTGAGCATTTACTAAGTATCAGGAGCAGCAGATCCAACAGAAGACAAAAAAGACTGGGTCCTAGCTCTTGGGAGCTTCTCATCTAGTTCTAAGAGTTTGTTGAGAAGGTCTTCTGCAGTCCTGTGGGCCCCAAGCGGAGTGTCTCACACACAGAGGCTGCTGACAAGTGTCATGAGGCTGTCCTCTCAGGGGTGGCCCCAACAGGCACTAAGAATCCTTGTTCACTTATTCAATAAATGTTTGCTGTGGGTGCCAGGCAGCAGGTGTTTCCAGCTTAAAGGCATCCAGTGCTGAATACAATAGAGACAAGTGTCTGCCCTTATGGAGTGATGTTCTGGAAGGGGAGTCAGGAACACCAGGTATAGTGTCAGCTGCAGGCACGCAGCAGGCGCTAACAAAGTTGTGTAATGAAAGAATATTCAAATCCCTTTTCTGATCTGGCACAGTACCTGGCACATAGCAGCTCAGAGAGAGCAAGTGGTTTTTTTTTTTTTAAATTAATTTTATTTATGCATCCAAGAACTGGGGTAGGCCAGAGGTGTGGGGGAAAGTGAGAGGATTCACCAGAGATAGAGTGGGGAGCAGAACAGGCGGACTGAGGAAATACACTGCTGAGGGGAGCAGCGGGAGAGACAGGAGAGCTCTGCTGCGCCATGTGGGTCACCTCCCTGGCTGGGGATGGAGTTGCAATGGCTGCAGATATATTCATAGTGCTGACGCTTAACCCCTCCCGCCACCAGGGTTTTATGCTCCATACCAACTCTGATCAACTGGAAGTGGCTGCTTTGGGGTCTGGGGGTGCTGGCCATGTTGTGGAGCAGGTAGAGCAAGAGGGTTTGGGGGAGGAGTGGAGAAACTAGTGGAGGAGAGGAGATCTGAACGCAGAGGTGGTCAGCAACCATCAGCAAAGCAGAGAGCACTTCCATTCATTCGTTTGATACATCCATACCGGGTACCTGCTTCTGCCCTCGCAAGGCGAGCTCCCAGCAGGGTGAGGAGGGACATAGCTCCATGTCTTGGAGCCTGCAGGTCCGTGGGTGGTGGTGGGGAAGGACAGACATTCATGCAACAACCAAATCCAAAGGTCATTTAAAACTATTCCAAACAGGTATGCGAGAGTAATGGGGAGAGCAGTGATGAGGTGAGGGGAAGCAGGCGAGGGCCAGGTGGGGTCAGCCAGGAAGACCACCCTGGCGTGCCTGCAGGGGCAGACTCTGTGAGTGAGCCCTCCCCAACAGCCCCTGTGCCAGGTGTGCAGTTATCGCCCCAGATAAAGGAGGAAGCGTGGGTGAGGGAGATGGATTTCAATGGCACCGATGAGGAAGAGGGGAATTTAGGAGGCTGTATGGAGAGAGATGGTGGTGGGGGCAGCGGGGGTGGGGGCATAGGGTGAGGATAGCTGGTGATAGATGAGTTCGGAAAATAAAGTCAATCTGATGTGCTGATGGTTGGATGGGGGACGAGGGCAGAGAGTTTCTGGGGCAGAGCTGGTTTCTGCCTGGTGACATCGATGCTCTACTGTGCCCCGGGAGAGCCAATTTCCCCAAATTATTGTGGCCTGGGGGTCTTTCTTTTCTCCCCCGTCCTGATGGGACACCAGATTGCACTACTAAAGGTTAGTGGTGTCTTGCTCTGAGTGAACGCATCCATTCAGAGGGCCTCTGGGAACGGTTTTGTTAGGGGTCTCAGAGCCAATGCTCTCAAAGCCCAGTCCCATAATAGAAAAGACTGGGTGGGGTGTGAATGACGCCCCCAGGGGGTGGCAGGCTTCGGCCCCACCTCCGGGGTCAGTGGCAACTCACTTCAAGCCCTGCCTGGCCATGCGGTGGGGCTTCCGGTTTTTCAGGAGGTAGTAAAAATCAGGAAATCAGGGTTTTTGTGCAAAATCTCCTGCCTTTGAACCATTGTTGACTACTGGAAAATGTTTCTGCCCTGCAAACTCAGATTAGTCCTGCTTCCTCGCGTTCCCTGAAGGAGGAATGAGGCCCAGAGCGGAGGGGCTAGTCTTGCAGTTACTTGGTGACACATTCACCTGGCGCGGAGCCCTGACTGGGGGTGTTTATTGGCCACTGAGGGTGGGGAGCAAGGAGGCTAGGAGAAGATGGCCCAGCCCTGGGGGAGCCCCCCACTACCTCCCACCCTGGTGGACACCTTGGGTCCTCATTGTTTGAGGGCAGGCAGAGTGATGTCAGACAGTCTGGTCGGTGACGTCCTGGCCCTGGCCCTTGTTGTTGGATGACAGGCCACTTGTGTCTGGGCCTCAGCTTTCTCAGCTGTGAAACGGGGATGGGTGGTTACAGAGTCCGCCTCATGAAGCTGTGGGGAGGACTGACGTGCTGACACTAGGAAGTGACTGCGGCTTAGCAGGAAGAGCAGCACGTCTTAGTGCACACAGGCGGGTGAGAAGCCGAGAGGCCGAAAGGCTTCCGCTGGGAGTCCCGAGCTGGTGCTTTCTTGCTGTGGCCCCTGGAGCCCCATGTGGCGGCCTTGAGCTGGCCTGCCCACCCTGGGCACAGCTCTCTTCTGTGAGTTTCAGTTTCTCCTTCCTCACAGCTGTTATCGTGTTGTTGTTTCATGGCCTTAAATGGAGGGAAATACCACCTGAACCCTCACAGGAGCCTCAGGACCCCAACTGTGCCTGGGCAGCTGGGTGCAAGGTCTCTGATGAGCTGCCCACTCTGGCCCGGGGGGGGGGGGCTGGGACTTGGGTGGACCTGGCAGGGAATGAAGGGTGAGCCAGGTCAGAGGCCAATCCAGGTCACCCCCTTCTCTTCAGCCAGAGAACATCCTGTGCGTCAACACCACGGGCCATTTGGTGAAGATCATTGACTTCGGTCTGGCACGGAGGTACTACCTGGGTGGGTAGGGAGGGTGGGTGAGTTTCTGAGGTGGGCGGGGTGCAGGGGAGGGGTACAGGGCACCTGCGAATAGGCTGGAGCCGTGCTCTGAGCTCGTGGTCTCATTCTCAGGTATAACCCCAATGAGAAACTGAAGGTGAATTTTGGGACCCCGGAGTTCCTGTCACCTGAGGTGGTGAATTACGACCAAATCTCCGATAAGACAGACATGTGGAGTATGGGGGTCATCACCTATATGCTGTGAGCCCCGGGGGAGAGTGGCGTTCATGGGCTTGGGGCACGTGGGTGGGCAGCCGAGGCCAAGATGAGCCTTGGGGTCCTGGTAAGGTGGTCCCAACTCCCCACCTCTTTAGTCAGAGGTTTAGGGTGCATGAGTGCTAGGGAGAACCACAAAGGGGAACTTTTTGTTTTGTGAATGGAGAAACCAAGGCCCCAAAGCTATAGCATCCAGCCCAGGGCTCTGACACTAGATCTTTGATGACCTGGGGTGGGAGTAAATGGGGAGTGGATGCATTTTGCACACTCATCATTCCTCTTCTTCACTGTAACCCTGGGAAGCTGGGATGCATATGCCCATTTTACAGATGAGAAGAGTGAGGCTCAGAGAGGGGAAGTGGCTTGCCCAAGCTCACCCAGCCAGATTCCAACCCAGGTCTGTCCCGCTTGAGAGGCAAGGGGTCTTTTCAGCACATGGTGCTGCCTTCTAGGACTCCCCCATCCCCTGACCCCCCACAGCTGACTCAGCAGGTCCTATCTCACCTTTCTGCATTCTGCCATTCTCTCCCTCCAGACTGAGTGGCCTCTCCCCCTTCCTGGGAGATGATGACACTGAGACCCTAAACAATGTTCTATCTTCCAACTGGTACTTTGATGAGGAGACCTTTGAGGCTGTTTCAGACGAGGCCAAAGACTTTGTCTCCAACCTCATCGTCAAGGACCAGGGGTGAGGCTTACCCCAGGATGCGAACCCCATGTGTGCAAGCCCAGAGTGTGTGTGTGTGTGTGTGTGTGCTGGCAGGGTGGGAATCGGGCTGGGAGGCCGGCTGGGCTCCAGAGTCTCATGGGCATGTTGCCCACCCTCACTCTGCTACCCCCTCCCCACAGGGCCCGGATGAGTGCTGCCCAGTGCCTCGCCCACCCCTGGCTCAACAACCTGGCAGAGAAAGCCAAGCGCTGTAACCGACGCCTCAAGTCCCAGATCTTGCTTAAAAAATACCTCATGAAGAGGCGCTGGAAGGTACTGCTGGACCGGGGTGGGGTGGAGGGAGGGGCTGCAAGGCGGGAAGAGCGCCTGGCACCAGATCTGGGCTCCGCCAGCCCTGCCTTGGCAGGTTCTGTCAACCAAACCTGGCCCTGTCTGGAAAACAGGGTTGGTTTTTCTCTTTGTCCTGGGCTGGCAGCTGCCCTGAAGCAGTGACCCTCCAGCCACCCCTCCACTCTGGGGAGGGGCATCTAGCTGATTGCTCGAGCTCAGGGAAAAGGTCTCTGACCCCATCACCAGCTTCCTCCCTCCATTTTACAAATATTTATTGAGCACCTACTACTTCTAGGCACTGGGCATATATCAGTGGACAAGAGAGACAAGGATTTTAGTCTTGGTGGACTTAATTTTTGGTAGGAGATGGGGAATAATAAAAAAAGGATTAAGGAACGGCTCTAGAAAAAAAATAAGGAGAGGCTGTTCTTCTGAAATAGAGTGGTCAGGAAAGTCTCACTGAGAATGAGCATGAGGGGCAGGCCATGCAGGTAATGAAGGGAAGGGTATACCAGACTGAGGGAACAGCCAGTGCAAAGGCCCTGAGGCAGAAGCAGAGTTGAGAGTGAGAGGAACAGGTAGGAGGCCAGTGTGGCTGCAGCGGAGTGAGCATTGGGTAGGGTTAAGGAGGTAGGAGAGGAATGGCAAGCAGGATAGGGAGCTTCATTGACCACAGTGAGGGTTTATTTTTTACTCGGAGCAAAACAGGAGTCACAGGATGTCTTGAGTGGTGCTCAGGTCTGGCAGACTTATCTGTTGAATGAAGGTAGGAATCCTGAAGGATGCAGTGTGGTGGCGCCTCCTGTGGCCATTTTGGGCACTGCATCCTCTCTGACCTCTGGCCACTCTGGAATGAATGATGGAGAACTAATGATGGGACATTTAGCTTCTCCCTCCCCCTCCCCCACCTCGTGCTGACTGGTACCCCTCTCCCTCACCCCTCAGAAAAACTTCATCGCTGTCAGCGCTGCGAATCGCTTCAAGAAGATCAGCAGCTCGGGGGCACTGATGGCTCTGGGGGTCTGAGCCCCCAGGAGCGACTGAGGCCTGGATGCAGCCACAGAGGGGCCGGGGCTGAGGCCACACAGCCCAGAAGGCCAGAGCAGATGGGCCAGATCCCCAGGGCGGGCTGGTCAGGACAAGGCTGCGCCAGGACGGGAGGCTCGGGGCTCCCCATGCCCCTATACAGCGGCTGCTTCCCCGACGTGAGCCACCTCGGATGTGGCCTGAATCCATCCTGCTAGCGCCTCCTCAGACAGGGAGGGCCCGGCCCATCAGCCACAGCCCAGCCACGGCCTGTTGTTCCTTCCCTGACTCCTCTTCTTGGAACTGCTGCCCCAGTGACCCTCGCTTTGCACCTCCTGGGGCATCCCTGTCCTGGGCTTGCTCCTAGCCGGGGTGGGAGGGCTGGGGGTCCCAGCACATGGGGCTGCTGTGGTTTTGGACAGGAGGCTCTTGGCAGGGAAGTGAGGCGTCAAGACCGATTCCTGAGGCCCAGCTGCCAGGGGAGACAGAGCAGGCTTTGTGAACGAGGACCTCTGTGCCCCCACCCGCCTCCCCACTCCCAACAGATAAGGCCTAGCACACACCATCTGGGCCAGCTCGGCCCCCGCCCACCTTCCTTGCGACCACCAACACACAGGAACTCCGTGTGAGAGAGGACGCCCAGTCCAGGCCCATCCAAGGGGGAGGGGAGAGGCCCAGGGGACACGGGAGACCACCCCCGAGCTTGCTTGAGGGCCAAGATGGCCCAACCCAGCCACTCCAGGCCCCCATCCCAGGGGTCACCCGCAGCCTCAGATGATGGCCCAGGAGGAGTGGGAAGGCCACCAGGCAGCTCCCAACGTGCTCTCAGCTTGTGCCTTGTAAATAAATGTACAGGTTGGAGGTGGCCTCCTTCCCTCTGTGTGCACACGCTGGGTGAGTCGCAGGTGGGCACAGGTCACCACTGTGTGCCTGCGAGGGGGCTACTGACGCAGCCTCAGGAGCTGTGCTGTCCAGGGCATGCTGTGAGCAAGTGGCTTCACCACTTTGTGCCTTGGTTTCCCCACCTGTGATGGGTAGGTCAGTCAACATTTATCAGGTGATTACGGTATGCCAGCCTCTCTCTAAGCATTGTATATATTTTAACTCACATCTCACAACGAAGTTTTGCAGTGGATATTATTATCACTACTCTTATTTTACAGAGGGGGAAACTGAGACTCAGAAAGGGGAAGGACCTTGAAGGTTACTCAGAAGTTGGGGTTTGAAATGAGCTCTCCCAGAGTCAGACTTTGCCCATGAGCCCACCTGCTTCTCACAGAACAAGGTGTAAGCAGAAAGCAGAGTCTCTAGACTGAGACAGAAGTCAGGGAGGGCTTTCCCGGGCCTGCAGTGCTGGGGGCCTCACACAAGAGATGTTCTCTATTCTTTCCCATAGGCCCCAGCCCATTTCACCCCAGGCCTGCAGTGCAGGGGAGGGGTCTCTTTGTGGGAGGGGCCAGCCCAGCGGGCAGGAGAGCTTAACCTTAAGAGGTTGCAGACTTTCTGGCTGTGAGGACAACTGAGTCAGAAGTGAGGCTGGTGTAAGTGGGGCAGCTGCTTGGCCTGTTGGGGCCCTGGGAGTTCTGGCGGGAACAGCAGTGACAGCAGTCACCTCACCCAGGTGCTGGCCCAGTTCCGGTGTCTAGATCATGGGGACTGCTCACGGTCACCCCGCAAGGCTGGTGTTGTGTCCATTTCTCAGATGGGGAAGTCAAGCCTCAGGGAGATTAAGCCACTTGCTCAGGGCCACACAGCTAGCTGGTGGCAGGCCTGGATTTGTATTCAGACAGTCTGGGCCCAGAGCCCCTGCTCCTAACCACTGCGCCACCTCCCTCCTGTGACTCTTGAACTTTTCTGAAAACTGGGGTGTTGCCAGTGCATCCCTTCTTCCCCCGCTTCCATGAACATTGGTCCAAAAGGCAAGGTCAGACCCTCATCCTTCCCTGTCATGGGAGATGGGTGCAGAGTCCCACAGTACAGGTGCCGCTGGAGGAGGGGACTCCCAGGTCTGAGCCTGGCGGGCTCGTAGTCAGGACATGGGGACCTGGGAAGCCTGGTGTGGGCTCTTGTTGGGAGATAGGCTGTGGGCAAGGCCCCCGGGGCCGTGGATCACTGCCCACTGGCTTGCCACCTGCCAGCTGGGCCGGGCTTGTGGTTTCCTCTGAATTCTCTCGGCCTCACTGGCCCCCACCCAGGCAGAGCCTCGGCCACACAGCGTGATGATGAGGGATGAGTCACTGGTGTGGTGTGGAGGGAGAGGAAATGAGGTTCGGCCAGAGCAGAGACCCAGGGCCTGGATCCAGCTGGGGAAACCGAGTCCAACACCAAGAAGCTCTCTTAACAGAGAGAACAATGCTTGGGACTAAAACCCAGGACTCTTGACAAGGACAAGCCTCAATTTCCTCCTTTATAAGAAGAAAATGACAATCTCAGCTCTGCTCTCCTCTCCTGCAACGAGGGCCTTGTGACAGCAGGGAGATGGAGTAGGGGTGCTCATTGACCGTCTTCCACGGGTGAGGAAACAGATTCAGAAAGGGAAAGTCACTTTCCCAAAGCCACACAGCAAATTAACAGGTCTTTGGCAGGAAGCCCCTGCAGAACCATGGAACAAAGCTAATCACCACCTTCTTCCATCCCTCGTGGGAGCACATCTTATAAAGCTCCTTTACATTCGTCACACGTCTCTTTTGGACCTTCTCTGGTCCATGGAGGGAAAAAATATAAACATGACAGTAAGAATGGGAGGTGGGGTTCAGAAAGATTTTTTTTTCCCTCCAAGGGCCACCGAGTGCGTCCGGAAAGAAGCAGGAGTGGCGACCCTGCCTGGCATGTGACTGACCTCTGCCTCTGCAGGCTGGGGCAGCAGCCCTAGTGCCTCCACCCGAGCTCCCAGCCCTGGCAGCCTGGGGTCTCGGGTTCTCCAAGTCCTGAATGCTAGGCTGCGAGCATCCCCTGCTTGCTGTTCCCTGGCCACCACAGTGCCCAGGTTGTGGCTTGATCACAGAGGAAATGCTGTGACCTTTACTGCAAGGTGCTCTGTGCCCTACAGGGCCTGGGTGGCAAACTTCCCCATCCTGGGTGTCCTGGGTGCCCCAGTGGGCTCAGAAGGGTTAACAGCCTCGATGGGACAGCTCCTCCCGGCTGGTCCCAGCCCAAAGAGCCTTCCTCAAGACTACTTCCTGCCTCTGGGCCTTGGCCAGACCCACAGTGACCACCCCCACGGGTCTGAGGCTGCATCTGGTTTGGATTACACCAGGGCTGGTGACGGGCCTTTTCCTGTCTGCCTCCAGTGGCCTTGCATTCCACCAGCCACCTTGGACCCAACAAGGCAACGGTGGGAAAAGATCCAGCTGTGACAAGGATGTGGCCCCTGTGACCTCACTGCCATCCATGTAGGCACCCGATACCTGTTCCTTCCCTTACTCAAATAGGTGCTGGTTATTGAACACTGGCAAGGTGCCAAGTGAGTCCCATGTCTGAGCTCATTTTATCCCCATCCTGTGAGGGGATATTTTCATTATTGGTATTTCACAGATGAGGAAACTGAGGCACAGGGAGTTTTTGGACAAGCCCCTGGGTATCCAGTCTATAAATAGTGAGGTCAGGATGCAAAGCAGGTAGTCTGACTTCTGACACATTCAATCACTTCACAGCTCTCTGGTGAGTCCCTGCTCTGGGCCTGCTCCCCACCCCCCCTCACAAGCCCGGACAACTTAGTCATGGTCACTGCTCCCAGGGAGCTCAGGGCCTCTGGAATCCCAGCGGGTGGGACAGGACATGGAAGGAGCCACAAGCCCCTATACTCTCTGGTGGGAGTGATGTCCAAGATGAGAGCAAACAAGGAGTAGGGCTTTTCCAGATGGAGTGAGGAGGGTGCTCCAGGGAGTGGGGGTTGTATGTCCCAGAACTGGGAGCTGGGAACAAGCTTGTCTTGGAGCATTCCAGTAGGGCTTTTGTTAAGGATGAAGCAGAAATAAATCTAGAGAAGTTAGTGGGGGCTGACTCAGCGCAATAGGGAGCTATGGAAGGCCTTTGAGCAAAGGAGAGACATGATTAGGGAGGTCGGTGAGCAGGAGAGAGAAACCGGAGGCTGGAAGGCCAAAGGAGGTGGGGTCAAGTCTGCTTGTGAGAGCTCTGAAGACTGGCTGTAAGAGCTCTGGAGACAGGAGGAGGGAGACAGGCGAGGACAGGAGACTGGGGGCCATGTCAGGCAGAACAGGGTGCAAATATTTGCTTCTCTTAGCCTCAGTCTCCAATCTGTAAAATGGGGTAATAGTTTCTCCTGCATCCCAGGCTCGATGCATGTTTCATGAGCTGTGTAGACAGAGCATCTGGCACAGACTGCTGAGCTCATGTCTGACCTGCAACAATTTCTCCAGCCCCACCCCCCACCCCCCACAACATTGCAAACAGGATTCTAGGTGCTGGGGACAAGCAGCAAATCGACAAGTCTTTGGCCTCTAGAGCTCCATTCTAGCAGATACAGACATGGAATGGCAATAGTGAATTTAGAATGCACAGATGGGGGCGGGTCAGTGAAGACTTCGCCAAGGGCGTTTCAACAGAGACTGAAGGGCACAGGGAGGGAACCCTGTGAATTTTCATGCATGACTGTTCCAGACAGGACAGGTAAGTGCAAAGGCTGTTTGGAACAAGGGGCGCAAGGGAAGATGAAGCCAGGTCACATGGGCCTGTGAGGTGTTGGTTCTGAATGAGGGGCCTCTGAGATTTCACCCAAGGGGCCTGGATGAATGGGTGACCAGCCCTCTACTCATCTGTTCAGCACCTTTATCAAGGGCCGGCTATGTGCTGGTCACCACGTTAGGGAAGTAGAGAAAATGAATAAGGCAGACCCATCCCCATACCCTTGAAGCTGACATTCCAAGACAGAGACACAATGAAAAATGAAGAAATATGCATAATTATGCAGAAATATGCATAATTCCATCTTGCAACAGGTGCCCTGCAAGAAAAGGAATGAGGTACAGGGATGGAGACTAATCTAGGGGCATCTAATCAGAGGGTGAGGAGAGGCATCTC